TCCTCTCAGTATCAAATAACATGCCGGAAGCAATTCAGAACAGAGCCGCCCATTACATTTCTAGGATCTACGCCATTCATTCCGATGTGACTCAGCTTAAACTTGATCATTCCCTCCAAGCATTGCATGTTCGTCGTCATGTGTCCTTGTTATTCCTATTTCATAAGTATGTTTACAGTAACAAAACATCGTCATTGCACCTTCGATGCTCCCTCTACACGTCACGCAGGTTACATAATCATCACAGTTTCATGCGCGTGTTTGGTAACAAACACGTTCAATTGTCAGCACTACCGCAAGCCATCCGCATGTCGAATGATCTTCCCGACAACATCGCCTCTGACTAGTCACCCTGACACGTTCCGGCAAAAACGTGAGATGTATTTCTTTAATATAGTATCGTGAAATTGTCTTACTTGTTTAACCTTCAAGCTATTTTATCTTGCGAAATGTAGGCCTTTATTTTCAACAGAAAGTTGTAATCTCTTGTTTAAGTGCTGCTTACCTATTGAAATGCTAGGTTTTGTATAACCTCACTATGCTATATTATTAACCTGCATTGTATAGTTGTTTCTTACAAGTTTACTTCTGCATTCACCGTTACACCTCTTATTTTTTATAAATAAGGTATTTTTTAATAAATAAATAAACAGAACTATTAGGCATGGCAATATATATTCTACTAATTTTATATTGAGCAAGGAGTTCATGTGGAGTGTTTCTTTCTCAAATAGCTTGCTGCGTCTGTCAAAACATTTGACTCCTCATCTTGGCATTGATTATTTCTTGTGTCGGATGATTTATTAACCCTTTGTAGGTTTGTCTACATTTTGACCCGGCTCACATGAAAATCGACTGTTGTATATTGATATTAACTACACTGTAATAGTATAATGCAGATTTCACCAAAATCAGTCCAGTACTTTAATGTAAGGAAGTGGGTGTCGTACTGACGTGTTTTCAAAAGGTGGGAAGACATATCCCACTGTCGCATGAAGGCTCCATCTCGCTATTGCAGCAATGGGTATTTGCTACAAAACGGTTATAGCAATACGCACACAGTAGCACTTCTCAAATGTAGTGGAAGGTTGTGCTGAACTCATTTCTAGCAGCACCGCCTGCACCAGCGTCACTTAAAGATCACTTCAGTGCATTCACCAGCAATTTTTTTACTCATGCCTCATCCATTTTTTTGTCCATTTGCCTGTCCAAATTGTCAAGTGCTAATGTTGTCTCTGAACTTGTGCCCGATTTTTAAGAGGTACATGTAGGATATCAGTAATAATATTTCCATGCACTATTATCCACAATTACACTGAGGTACAAACATGGCAATTTGCAGGGTATTACTTTTTGATGCATTTATCGCTCGAGTTATTGCGCAGATCTAAAAAAAAAAAAAACACGTGATGAGTGGAAGCTACAAACGCCTCTCTGAAAAACAAAAAAAAAAAGACTATCATGCAGTATTTTTATTAGTAGATCTTTTCTACATCTACTCAAGAAAAAGAAAATTCAGCAGACAACATTAACAAAATTATTGAAGTTCAACCTCCCATTGCCGTGCTGCGGCACTCACCCAGCTACGCTTCCTCTTATGCTGTGGGAGTGCCCAGCACAGTACAGACACACTAACACCACGACCCTTTTGTCCGAAGCTCCATGAGGCTGTGCAGAGCCCGCTCTTGACGACCAAACCTGGGCGACCCAGCATGCCCATGAGAGGGCGTCGAGGTAAGCCCTTGACGTCCCCTCATGGGAGGCCTAGGCCCTGCCACCTAAACCTGCTGTTTTTTTATAATAAAGTTTATTTCTCCTCTCCTTCTAAACAGTTTGTAACACTCTTTTCATCGTTTAAAAGCATGGTAAAAAAAATATGCCTCAACCTGGGTAAGATATGAGTGACTGATCCTTGCACTAATTGCAATCAGTCATATCGGAGAATTTTTCCTTGCAGAAGCAAAAAGTGAGATTTACACGTACTGCTTACACAAAAGGTGTTAAGTAAAATACAAAAATAAGAGCAACTTGCACACAGCTACCTGTCAAGTTTATTCTTTTAAAATAATGAAAGTATAGTGTGAATATGCTTTTATTGTGCACCCTGGCCTCCTTCCCTGGACAACTTCCATATCTCTTGATCCCAGCTACCGAACATGATTACAACATGATTAGAATTATGTTCGGAATGGCTGCAATTCCAACATTATTTCAATCCTCCGCTACCCGAACATGATTCACTCATGAGCATAACATTTCATCAAATAAAAACATTTTGTTTCACTAACATGATGTCACACAAGTAATGTCAAAGTAGGCTTTTACAAAACATTTTGCTGGGAGAACACAAGAGATGCACAGCTAATCATAATGAATGTCTTTATGATCATAAGAATATACATTAACATCTTTGCAGCATAAATTTAATTTATGTATTGGTATTGAGTGACATATTTATCTAATTATATTCCCATGATATCAACAGTGGTAATATTGCAATACTGTGCTGCGGAACTATATTGGTGAAGAAATGTGACACTGTGTTGCTCTCCTATCCCAACACACATACACAATTTAACTCAGCACTGGCATGCAAAAAGAACCTGTATTTTCAAACAGTTTTTTTTTTTTGAGCTTGTAGAAAAGTGCAGGCTTTTGTTTTTTTATTTTTATAACAGGCCCATACACTGGAGTTCTTATAGACTGTTTTATGGCTTCCAGCGAACACAAGTGTCTTTGAGAGGTTAAATAGGAAGGAGCACCTGTAGAAATCTTCCAGTTGTTTCTAACAGCACAAGGTCATTGCTGTTACAGTATACACCCTGCAAAGTACGATCATTGTTCATTCATCAGTCTGGTTTACGAGTTCATTCACGCCTTGTTGATATCTCTAATCAAGTGAGGAAGAATCATTCTTTAATGTATTCTTTTTATTATGTACTGTGCAAATGGAAATGCAAATGAGTTGTTTTTGCATGTAATGGATGAACGCATGATATACAGCAATCCCATGTTTTGAAACAGTTCGTTTCAGTGATATTATTTTACGAGTCAGGCTGATGACAATGATAATAAAAAACACTCTCATATGTGTTCAGCTGTAATTTAGCTTACACATACAAGACAACATTGAGTTATGTACGTGTGATTGTGTATTGTAATGCAGTTTGTGTAAGTTATTGCATACTGCTCACTTATGCTCACTAAGTGGAACGAATTCAGTGCTAAAGAAGTCAGAGGGGAGAAAAAAATCTCCTGTGCCCGGTTTCGCTGAGAAATTCAGTGCTGCATGGTTTGTGTTTATTATTAAATTAAACACAAACAATCGATGAAATATATGGAGACGGCATTCGATATTCAATGAAATTAATTACTTCAATTGCTAGTTATATGATCTTATTAATATATTTAACCATTCTCTACACTCCTTAAAAATGTGAAAGGTACATTTGAAAGGTACGATGAGTCACTTTATCACAGATGCCATTTGATCGCATCAACACACACTGAGCAGGAATTTTAGCATTGTTATTGTGTTCTTGTCTATGTGCTCTGCTATCCTTCTATGTTGTGTGAAAGGACCATAGCATTTCGTAAGTTTATCTTGAATAGCGCACCCTTGTAAGGGATCACGCATCACTTCTCAGTGTACGTTAGTGCTTTATTAACATTCACTGCTACTTTCAAACATTGATCGGTGATGTCATGTTAACTAGATTTCATTGCTCATTTTGAGGAAGAATTGGCTTAAAACATCTGCCAAGCCAACGATTTCTGCAGGACAGTTATGTAATGCATTGTACTGTGCTTTGTTTCAATTACAGTGTTGGGACAGATGCTGTAAGGTGATTATATAATTATGCAAATAGCTTGTTAAATTTTGTTAGTTTTAGTCATCTCAATATTAGGTAGTACTTCTGTCATGCAAGTTGTGTGGCTTTCCAGGTAATTCAATCGGTGCAACAGAATTGGTACTGATATTGGAAATTTTCAACAGTTTAATTTTCTTTGTGTATGTGCATATACATGTATGCGTGTTATAAGGTGCAGTTTATCGCGCATTACAGTTCAAGCACTGTTCATCCTATGAGAGATCTGCTGAGGGAGGCTTCCAAGTTTCCTTGACAGTCATGTGCATAGTGCATGCACTGCTGAGGCATAGGGGCGAAAGCTTAGTCACGCAACTTTTATTATTTTGCAAGCATCGTCTGGAAGCTCGTGTATATCGGTCCAAATGGTGAAAAGCCCTGATACGGTTGACTGTGTGTAACACTGTTACACGCCTGCCCGAGATTTCACAACTGCAGTAAAACATTCCTGTTGGTTAAAATGTTTTAATAGAAATATGGGGTATTGCGGCTAACTTGCACCAAGTATACTTCTTTAATATCACACTTTTTAAAGAAAATGTTGGAAAAAAATAAAAACCGGCAGCTATTATAGCATAGTTGAAATAATCTGACATTTCTGAAGAAATGTTGCAACTTTCCTGCTGAATATTTTTCTTAGAGTTACTATTGTGAGGGTTAATTAAGGAAACTTTCATTTAGATTACCAGCCTATCAAATTGGCAGTTATGTCATGGATGAAATATTCTAATGTTTCACAGTAAGCACTACTACTTTTGCAGTAAAGAGATTCGGTATAGCTACTAATTAAAAGGTTCATTATCCAATTCTTGTTAATTTACACAGCTTGGTGAATGGAAAAGAAAAAATATGATGTGCTGCCTGCAGCTTGAAACAATACTGAGCTAATTCGCCACGTTTAGTGCATCTGTTTGCTTTCGTAGTGCTAGACACAAGTCGGCTAAAACGCCCTGTATATTGGGCAACCTCTGTAGATGAGCCTTTTGTTTGTTTTTATTTCATAACAACTTCCAAAGGCTGGCAGGAATGGGTTCGTGCACCATTAAACTACAATGTCACTCCTCCCAATTCAATGTATTGGCGTGCCTGTTGTATGTCACAACTTCCTGTCTTGTTCTCTTTCATCTGCAGGGCATAAGTTTCTGCGGAGAGTGCGATAGCTGCCAAGATGAAGGCCCTGCTACTGAAGAGGATCAACCTGCATGCGGCCCTAGTGCGGTCCTCTCTGTGCCCTCTATACCAGAGCACCTGTTACTACTCCTCCAGTCCTTCCCCTGACATCAAGCCCATCAAGAAGATTCTTGTAGCTAACAGAGGTCAGCTCTAACAACCTTTTTCATTACCTATATTCATGACACCAAAATTTCAGTTTGACCACATTTCTTGCATCTTCATGATCATGTTAAGTGCACTGCTTTAGTGTGGTTTAAGATTTTTCAATTCTTCAGGGAGTTCTATTCAGTGTACACACGTATGTGGGCTCTGTGCGGTAATTCACTTAAAAAACATGATATGAAGCATCACTGGTTTCATGTTTAGCATACTTAGAAAGCACCTATCATGTAAAACATTGCAGAAAATGAACAAGTGAGTTTTCTATACATACAGAAATGGAAAGCTCACGGGAATTAAGTTCTAAGAAAAAGTTTAATATAAGCCTAGTTTGGCATGCAGCAGCTGCATTTTGATTTTACTACTTAGATTTTGCAAGCAATGTAATTCCGCAATCTTTCTATAACTGTCCTATTAAACTAGGCTGACATTAGGCTTTTTCGTTAAGCCTGCATTCTTTTGACCTTACTTTTACATATTAGTAACACAGACATTTAGATATACACGCTCACCTTACAGTACTTTTTACTCATGATTTATGAGTATGAACTGATTCTGTATTTCGCTTCAGTGTCGCTCAAAGGAATGCTGAACAAAATTTTTGCCGCCAAGATTTTCAGCCAAATTGAAAGATTAGACCCTGAAATCAAGAGGCAACCTTCATTTCAGGCATAAACAATGGGAAAATAATGAATTTAATGCATTTTTCACAAACTGCCCCATCTTGATGCCGCGTCGTGAACTAGAGAAGGTAACATGTGATGACATCACACACTCCCGAAGCGGGCAAGTCAACAATGCCAGCCGTCACCCACGTCTCTCGACTCGCTCAACTCCCACTTCGGTTTCCAAAAATGGTATGACCAGCAAAAGCGGGGAACAATGTTTCCGGCTGGGGTGCTGGGTCAAAGCGCCAGTGCTTTTGTGGAAGAGAAAGAGTGGGATGAAAAAATAGGTATAGGAAAAGTGGTGGAGCATGCATCCTGCATGCTCCTCGGTGAGTGTAATGTTACGGCTCGCGCTTGCGAGCAGCCGTGACATGCCGACATTCCATAAAAAATACAACTAACAGTTCAAAAACAGGAGATATTAACTCCGTTTATCGAAACATAGGCATCTTTCGAGTCTTTTAAGTTTCGTCAGTTTTTTACAATTTTTGTTCAGTATCCCTTTAAAGGATAGAGTGCTGCAGGTTTCTTGACCTAGTTTGTATTTCTTTTTACAGGTGAGATTGCTATCCGTGTCTTCAGGGCATGCTACGAACTCGGCATCGGATCGGTTGCCATTTACTCGGAGCAGGACAAAATGCACATGCATCGACAGAAGGCGGATGAGGCATACCTCATCGGGAAGGGCCTCTCCCCTGTCGAAGCCTACCTCAACATCCCCGAAATAATCAGGATCGCTCAGGTAGCTCATGCCCTCTTTACAGGTGACGATTCTGTTTTACTGATTTCAAGTTTTCGATGAAGTCAAAAAAGGCAAAACATGTGCATTCGATATACGGCTTGTTTGCCGAATTCCAGTTGCGGGCAATTGACAAATATATATCACATTGATATATCAAACATTGATATATCACATTGATATATGACACATTGATATATCAAACGAATGGTAGTCATCTAGTGTGGTAATAACATATTTTACCACACTTATGTAAGGAATAAAGCAGAAGTATATGTAATTTGATAAAAATTGGCTTACTTGGCAGCACTTAGGGAAATTAGGGGCTTGGAGGGCTTTTTAATGTAGGCGTCGTATAGGTTCGAAGTACATTGTGAAAGTCCATGCCCATGTCTCAATGCAATACATTAAAAGGCAATGTTCGTTAGAGCCAAAAATGTTTTTTTTATTTGTGATATGTTAGGAGAGCATACATTTTAAAGGGGCCACCAATGACACCCAATTTTCGATTGTAATCTGTGTTATGTCGGGTAATCCTTGTGCATTGAGAAATAAGCTGCCAAAATTTTAGTGCATTTGGTCAAGCACTTAATTTATAATTGAATATTTTTATAATTGCGAGCGGCCTGAGAGTTGGGCAACACTGGGGCACATGCGAGCCGTGGCGTAACATGCAGCTAGCTTTGCAAGAGCGTCTACATTCCTGCGAAATATATTGTTTTAAGAGTCAGCTGTGTGTGAAATTGAAGTACTTTAGCTTTATGCTTGGCATTGAAATTTAATGATTTTCAGTGGCTGAAACATTGGTAGAACAGGATGGCTGGGCTCCCTGCTGCACATCACATCACACTCGACATGTCAAAATAGGGGTCGCCGGCGGTAGGCGGGATTCACAGCCAGCCACTTCTAAGGCCTTTATTGCTCTGAAATATTTTTTATGGTCCGGTTTTTATATTCATATAGTGTGATAGGCCATAAACTTCTAGTTTTTGCTGAAAACCACTAACTATAGTGTGACCGTCTCATAGCCACTTTAAGCACATTACTCTGCAGTTTGTGTTCTTTGTTTTCACCTGTGTCTAAGGTTGCTATATTTGTGGGTGTGTGGCTGTCTCTACTTAACTGCAGGAGAACCACGTTGATGCCATTCATCCGGGATATGGTTTCCTCTCGGAAAGGTCAGACTTTGCTCAGGCTGTCATCGACGCCGGCATTCGGTTCATCGGTCCCACGCCGGAGGTGATGGCCAAGATGGGGGACAAGATAGCTGCACGCCAGTCAGCCATCAGTGCAGGTGTGATGGAGGTTTGCTCGTCTTTTTAGTCAGTCATGGGCTCAGGACGGCATTTGAGCTGTATGTTTGAATGAATGTCAGGTAAATAACCAGTAAAAGTACCTGTTAGCACTTTCACGACTGTTGACGGGTATATTCGTCATCACCGATGATGACTACTGTCGTCATTGGGCATATTTTTGTTCATGACTAAACTACTGTCATCAACAATAATTCTTTCGGCATAATACCATAAGAACTGCCCCCATCATACCTGTGTTTCTTGACGGTTGATGGCCATGCTTGTCCATGTTGGTACATTTGTGCCTTGTCTTTTTTCTTATTGTCATTTTTCATTGTAGGGCCATGCAGTAAAGCCAACTTTGAGTTATTGTTTTATGCGATTAGCAAAATAAAAGAATGCCATTCAATTGAAAAAATGGTACCGTTTTATTAAAAAAAAAAAAGCTGTACAGATTGAGAGGAAAAAATTGTTTTCATGATTTTTGGCAAGTTTTTCTTTTTTTTTCTTTCGGTCGCAAAAGGTCTGAAGTCCCCACTCTATCTCAGCTTGACAAACAACCTTTAGCTTTGTACGTATAACGGTAGCAAGCACTTGTAAGGTTTTGATGCTTTTGTGTTTAAATTATAAAGGAGCTGCATCATTGAAACCTTAATGCCGTGCTACTTTCCTATCAACAGTATCGCCCTCCAATACTGATCTTTATCATTTAAAAAAGAACTTTGGAATCGAAAAGTAAAGTGAATATTTTTTGTTGACTTGTGGCATCAGCTGAAAACATTGAATCCTGACCACACGATGTATGCGTCCATGAAACTAAGTGCTGTCTTTCAAACACTTTCAGATGTGCAGGTTGTTCCTGGAACTGACAGTCCTATAGAAACGACAGAGGAGGCTGTGGAATTTTGCAAGAAACATGGCTTACCGGTCATCTTCAAGGCTGCTTATGGTGGCGGTGGCCGAGGAATGCGAGTCGTCAAGGAAATGAGTGTCAGTTTCTTTTAAATTGGTTGTTTGTAGTAAACCTGTTTTTCTGTTCTCTAAATTTTTGTGACAAGATGTACCTGCATTTCTATGTACCTGCATCAGAGTAAAACTGCTATTTTACTCTGATAAATTAGTCCATTGAAAAGATGTGGAACTAGTGGTGCTATTCTGGACCATGTCAGATTTGGTAATGATGGCATTCTAGGTTGATCAGAGACTGTAGCAAATCGCTGGACTAATCATAGTTGAGATGGAAAATTTGACAACATGACAGAATTTGAAGTGTTTATATTGTGGACATAGGGGTTTAAAGGAAAGGGAAATTCAATTCAGAATGGCACAAAAATATGTCGTTTGAAGAAAATGAATGAATACACGCGCAGTGAGGTCGGCTGGCAAAGAAGCTTAATTGAAGATCTCTGCACATTTTCGTCGAGAAAGATGAATGATGATGGTAATGATTTATCTTTTCTCTGACACTGTAAAAAAAAAAAAAGATCTTTTCCTGAGGCACAATTGAATTCCTCATGAACAATTAGGCAAGCTGAACTGAAATGCGACATGACGTTTGAAGTGTTGTGACCAGCAGCAACTGGTACAGGAACCTGTCTGATGTGTTTAGAACTTGAAAAGGTATAGAGTGGTATATGGTCACTGGTTCAGTACTTCTGGAAGATCTCAGAGATGGTTCCAGTGCTGGTGCCACATAGTTTATTGTGGAGGTGTTATAATAAATACAATGTGGTTAAAATGCACTGTGCAAGTATGTAAAGATTATTTTAATGAATGGGTTAAAATGCACTGTGTAAGTATGTAAAAATTATTTTAATGATTGGCAACTCATTTACACAAGAAGTTATCAAGGCTTAGCTCTATTTCCCAGAAAGCTAGGACACATACAGGCTAAATGTATTAATGTCATTTACACAAGCATTACTTTTGGTTTTGATAAGATAAGCTCCCAACACTTTTCATATTATTGTTCTTGTCAAGAATTTTTATAAATTGAAGCAATTGTATACAGCTACAGGAAGCATAGTGGGCAGTTAATTAGCCTTTTCATCATTTTTACCATCAGTCCATGCTCTAGTGCTCAACTAGTTTCCACTTAGCTTCTTAATATAACCAGAGTGTGAGTACCACTGTACTCACAATAGGAAACATGCCAGTTTAGTTCAAAGTAACATAGATTCATTTAGACTGTCTTCAGTTCATGTCACATTGGTGCGCTACTGCCTCGTGCACTTACACGAGAGCCGAAGTCCTTTTCAGTGGACGTATTTGTAACAAAATAGCATTATTGTCTGAAACAGTTGAGCATACATGATGTTAAATGTAAATTTTCAATGTTACATTACTCAGGTGAACACTGTAAACTGGCAAATGCATAACTGATAACATTCATTCTAGAGATGAGAAGTCATTGAACAGAGAATGCACATAGGCTAATGTTTTGGCAATTAGCAATGAAAGGTTTTCAATTATATTAATCAAATTTGGAGGCACCATACTTACAAAAAATCACACAGGAGAAGGGGAACCTTCTGTGAATGTCAAGTGTCGTGTGAAGCACGAGATAAACAAAAATGCATTCATGTAAATGTTACAGAAAGGCTAGGAAACTCGCAAGAAGCATAAAGTTGACATGGTATATGAATAAGTGATTATGCAGTTACTGTAAGCTGAAAAACAATGCTCGTGAAAAGCGTCATGACACACGGGTCATGATTACCAAGTCTTCTTCAAGGCCCTATCAAGTGTGCTTTGTCTTATCGAGGCAGCATCTGTACTGAGCAATAGATGCATCTTACTAAGCAACATTGCATTGTGTTAAGCGATTGTATTGAGCTGCAGCAATAACATTCATTTTAGTTCATTACGAATCATGTGTTTGAATTGTGCTTTTGTCAAAATTTCTTGTTTCTCATAGGAAGTGGAAGAAAACTTTCAGAGGGCTACGTCGGAGGCGAAGGCTGCCTTTGGCAACGGTGCCATGTTCATTGAGAGGTTCATTGTCCGCCCACGTCACATAGAGGTTCAACTGTTGGGTAAGTGCCTATTTTATCATACATTGCACCCTAACCAACAGTTTCCTGAAGTACTCTGATGTAACCTTTTGTAATAGCCAAGTTATGTTGTATTTGTACTCTAATCATAATGTTTCTAAATGTATTAAATTGTATTGTACAATGAGTCACAGCCTAAAATAGTATTTGTCTTGCTTCCTTGATCTATTTTCTTGTATATCGACTCAAACAATATTCAATTTACATTTCTGCGAATTTTACCATAAATATTTTCTTGTGCTATGTCTAGTACTCTAACACCATTTTTTTTTTTTCATATTGTACATATTTTAACATTTTATTGCAGTACAGTGTCTCTAGGAGCCAGTAAGGTACCCTTGAGTAATAGTAATAATAATAATTTGGCTCGTGCAAATATTCAACTGCTTTGAATATTGCAGTATTCAGATTCTTTTTGATTTGAATTTAAATTATTGGATATTTCGAAGTACAGTAAAACCTCGTTAATTCGAACTCTGTTATTTTGAAATCCCGCTTAATTTGAAGGATTTTCCGCGGTCCTGTATTTTCTAATGTAAGTTTGAGTGGATAATTTGAAGCGGCGGACAGCACCAGTCCAGTTAATTCGAAAACTTTGGGTGCCCTTTTTGTGCCAGTTCCAAATCCCGACTTCGCCGCGAATCCGTGGAAACGACGGCCAATAATATCCACAATGCAATGCAACTTATCGATACTAGTGAGTGGCAGCTGAAGCACCCTAGCCTAGCTACTTCTAGCGCAAAAAACATAAAGAAGAAAAAACGGTCTCGTGGTCAACCGAAACGTGCGCCTGCGGAAAACAAGCTATGCTTCACTGCAACACAGTGGTGACATGTGGGCAGCTTATTGCATGTTTCTCGTAACGTCAGCGGGTCATGGTTTACTGATTCTTTCTGGGATCGTAAAGAAATTAATAAAGCACAGTTTAATGAAAATAACGATGTATGCGAACCTCCGATTGCCGGTTGCTCCAGCAATTTGTGTCTTTGCACTGCTGGCGGAGGTCTTGCCAGCAACACCTACTTCGAAAGCTAAGTTCGAAAGTTTCAAAGATCATTTCTTTCCAGCCAAAACACATTGTGAACTTCGTCATACTGGCCATTATTGAGTTCATAATTGTAATAGAAAGAATGTGCGAATAGTCGCATCATGACGTGCTGACGCAGCGAGAAGCAGGCAATATGCTGCCTGCGTGTCATTACTGCGCTGCAGTGAAGATGTCTAGTTTTCTGCAGGCGCACATTTTAATTATTTACGACCACGTTTCCTTTTTTTTTTTTTTGTGGCAGCAGTGAGGCTCAGTGTTCCTCCATGTTGGTGGCAAATAAATACCAGGTATTGCTGAAAAATGTAACCTTTGGAGCCGCAAGCTAGTCGGCACAGCAAACGATGAGCACCGATTACTTTGAATAGCTCCAAGTTTTTTGCATCCCACTTTTCGTATGTTCTGTTAACTCAAAAGCCCGCTTAATTCGAAGCTTTCTCACGGCCCCAGTGACTTTGAATTAACGAGGCTTTACTGTATCTGAAATGAACAATAAACGTGTATTAGTCCACACGTAACTTTTTGTAAAAGTGGTTTTACTGCAATAATGGAATGCTATTTTGTGAAAACATTTTCAAGGGTAATCCGCACTGTTGCGAGATCTCATTTCAGGGTTCAATGAACATATCCTCATATCGATTCATCATTTTTCAAGTTTAGAAGCTCCTTATATTGGCTTGTTTGCTCTAAGTGTAGTTAATTTTAAACACAACATATTTCACAGGCTATCACTTTCATTTTACCACAAGTGAAATGCTGCTACTGTTCAAAGTTGTTCCTACTTTCTTTGAATAAAAAAGAACGGCATTTTTAGATGCCTTGTTTCAGATTATATATATATATATTTATATAATCTTCTTTATCGAATCACTATTTACTTCAAATTCGCTTCGAACCTAAAATTTGCTATTTACACAGGTCTAAAAATTGAGTTCTAGTTGATTTTTCTCACTGATGTCACCTCGTATGATTACCATTCACGAGAACAGCTCAAACAAACGTTTGGCAAGATTGATGATTGACCAGTGTTTGCAGCAAGCCATAACACAGCTATCATAAAAGTCAAATCAACGCGTTTTGTTTTCTTTTGCATTAAGCGCGGGATTTTTTTCTTTGTTTTTTTTTTTTGCATTCGCCCGGCAGACGCGTTTTTTTTTTTTCTTTCGCCCCGGCTGACGTGGTTCCCCCCCCCCTTTTCGCTCGCCCCGGCTGACGCAGTTTTCGCGCTATAGAGAAACATATCAACGGCGAATATGTGTCAATTAGGTTTAGAATGGTTTGTTCACCTGCTTTCTTCTGTATGATTTTTCATGTGATAATCTTTATTTCCATCCCCCTTGAGAATTTAAACAAAAAAAAAAGAAAGAAGTGGAGTTTTATTGTATAACACTTTTTTTATCATTTAATTTATCACCACAGCTACGGATGCTGTATTTGTGGACACATGTTTACAAAAAATCTGGTACTTCTTCGATTGGGATTCGTCAAGCTCATTACATCTACCCATCTGCTACTACCAATTAGAAGATACTCTCATATGAAATAACAAATTGTAAATGTTAGTGGGGTGGCCGTGAACAGGGCTGGTGAAAAAGAAGCGGCAGTTCTCTTGTCGCTCTTAACCGGTCATCCCCCTCGGCTACTCAACTTCCTCACTATGCGGAGAAGGGAAATGGTAGGAAAACGAAAAGGAAATAAAGAAGTCTTGAGAGTTGGTATTCACGCTGTGCAGTTTTCCATCTTTACAGCGTACACACATGTCCCAACATCAGTAATCAGCTTGTGTTGCTTCGTTACCTTCATTGTTTCCCATATGACAAAATGTTTGATCCTTATAATTGATGGCCTGCCTCTGACTCTCTTGTATATGCGTGATTGCCATCGTTTGTCATGCATTCTTTCTATTTAGGTGACAAAGCAGGCAACGTGGTGCACCTGTACGAGCGTGATTGCTCGGTGCAGCGACGACACCAGAAAGTTGTGGAAATCGCTCCTGCTGCCAACCTCAATCCAGACGTATGCTCAAGATATGAAAATTTTAGTTGAAAATTTTGTTGGTGTTTTGCTGTGACAGTTCAGCTTCCAGACCCCCTCATTAATCCTGGTTTCGGGATGTTATACCCCACATATCAATCAACCCCCTCATTAACACAATGGCTCATTGTCATTTGCTTGTACCACTGACATTTAACAATTGTCCATATCCTTGATACCTAAGCTTATACTCTATACATTGTTTATTTTTTGGCATTACCTTAGCACATCTAATTTCCTGTGGCAGTAAGTGAATGTAACAATAAACACACTGAACCAAGGGTGCACTCTTTTAAAGGAGCCCTGCAACACTTTTTGAGCATGATCAGAAAACGCTGCTGGTCGGTAGTAGAGGCTCCCGACAAGACGCAAGCCAATTATTATAGCACAGCACGCGGCCTGGAATTCAAAATAAATTATCAAAGTCAGCTAAAAATAGCTTTCTCTTCTCTCGACAAATCACGGAATAAGCCCAAAAGTCACTCATAGTAAGCCCATCTATCAGCCATTGGCTGATTTGAGCATGGCGCGCTCAATTGTTACAGAGGTTGTTGCGAGCGGCTGTCACTTTTCCTTGCGTGCCCGGGTGATCGCACTGAAAAAGCCATGTAATTGAAGAGAAAAAAAAGAAGAAAAAAATGCTCAATGTCACGAGGCGCGAGGTACGTTTTTTGTTTGCCCCTCTCATCCCTCCCTGCTTAGCTTCCAGCGTTTTCGTCGGGACAACAGAAGAGAGAATGCGATTGCAGCGTGCGACAAATCTTTGTAGCTCCGCTTGTACTGGACAGACTCTTAAAAATTTTTCAGCGTTGAATTTGTGAGGTAATACGCTTTTCCAGTGTGGTAATTCCATGGTTACTCAAAAAAGTGTTTTAGGGCCCCTTTAACATACCTAACAAGTATGTTAACTGTGATAAAAAAGAGAGCTAAGCTAATTGGTTTGAGTTATGTCAATTTCATCTTGTCTGGCTTATGTATAGACTTCCCAAATTGATAAAACGAAATGGTTCTCCAGCGTAGCTAAGCAACACAATTTTAGAGTTTTATTAGGTGCACTTTTATGCAAACTTTTCTCTGCGCACTATAATATATGATTGGCTGACATGTCTCTTTCCACGCAAGATCGTGTGAGATGTCGTATCAATTGATCAATCTGTCTGGACATTATCTTAATTTAATTGAACACAAAATAGCAGTTGCAGAATCTCAAATGCATTGGAAGATGTGATGATGACCTTGTGGTTTAAATGAGACATGGGGCTCCTTAAAGTGTACATCTATGCTTCATTTTGATTTTGCTACGTGAACTTTCCTACATGAAAGCACTTGTTTCTAACTCTGCTTAGACACTCTTTAATGCAAACTCGAAAACAAATGCTAAGCAATCAGTTTTCTGTGTGAAATAATGTACTGCATCTATTTTGTCAGTTACAGCAATGCTTAACTTGTATGTTCTTACATAAAAAAAACGATAGTCTTTCTTGGGATACTTCACCAGAATTTCGGTCTGCCTGTCTTTCTGTTGGTCTGTGTCGCACGATTTAACCACCCGGTGAAAGTTCAAGCACTTCCTCAATGCCCAGCTATTTTGATCTGCTTGCTGCATTCATACTTGCGAAGATCTCCAATCAAAAACCTAGTATTACGCATATTCGAGGTAAACATCAATATTTAGGTGTCAGGTAGTACGTTACTTTAGTTTTAAAATGCATCGATCCGCAATTCTAAAAACCGCAGTGCTTATTACAATGTGATGACAGTGTGACATTATGAACAAAAAAGCGGGTGTTTCGTACGCTTTACTAAAGTAACATGGTGCTGCCACCTACCAGTGGTTCTGCATTCTAGGAAAACTTTCATTTCTTGAAATTACAGCCGTGTGGCATCCATATCTCACTCAGCACCTACTCACCGATCTTCTTGTGCAGAACGACAAATTAACGTTTCATTCTTTCTCTCTAGACAGAGGAATATCGTCTTTCGCCGACCTTTGCTAGCGAAGAACGCAGATATGCGACCAATTTTATCCCCAATTTTCTGTTATTGTTCCTAAAGAGATCATTAGCATAAGCCATCTTTTTCCACTTTCAATTTTCACAAACATAAACTACTAGTGTGAGTAGCCACATTATTGCTTGATAGCAGGATGGTGTGCCGAGGTGTAGATGGAGCTGCGCCTAATGGAAGCATCCTACTTTCTGGCAGGTCCGACAAGCCATGCTTACTGATGCAGTGCGCCTTGCCAAGCACGTCGGCTATGAGAATGCGGGAACGGTGGAGTTTCTGCTGGATGAGACGGGCAAACACTACTTCATAGAGGTCAACGCTCGGCTTCAGGTGGAGCACACCATCACCGAGGAAATCACTGGGTGAGAAATCACTGGGACCACCTGAAGACATTTATTTGGGGTGAAAGGGGAGAGGGAGGGAGGGGGGGCATTCAAAGTGAGAAGTAAATAGAGTATGAACAAACAAAAAGCACACCAAACAACGGAATAAAGATCAACCGCAAGGGGAAAACACTGTGATAGAAGTGAATTAGAGCTAGCTAACTGCAGTAGAATACTCAACTTTCATCATAGCCACCTAACTTAATTGCACTGTTGAAGCAAGGCATCAAAAATATTTCTGCAGGACGCTCGTTCCGAACACTAATGGTGCGAGTGAAAAATGAGGATGGGTCGAGGCGGAATGTGTACTCTGTAATTTATTTTTGCATGATCACTCATAGCTGATACATAAAATAGGATGGTTGCTTGTAGGCATGTACGAATGGTAAATTTTAGGGTCTGAAGCAAATTCAAAGTGAATAGTGATTTGGTCAAATAATTTATATTGAATTTGAATAGCATACATTACCAAAGGAAAATGATATTTGTCGTGACCCAAGTAGCCTGCACAATAGGCTCCTATATTGAAAAAAAAGCGTGTGCAGATGTCATTCTATTTGGTTCAAAGGGAAGCAACTTTATATAGTGGCAGTATTTTACTTTTAATAAATTCTAAGTTATGACCTTTGAAATACGTTATGTTTTAAAATTTAGTTCATTTAGAGCGTACAAGTTAGTATAATAAGCTTTTAAACCTAAAAAAAATGATGAACCGATGTGAGTGTAATATGTTCATTTAACCTTGAGATAGGGCTTCGCAACAGTTTGCATTTTTTCTAGTGAAGCGTGTTCACGATATAGCACTTTTTTTTCACGGCAGTGAAGCAAGTTTTACAGGGAATTGCATGCGGTTTGTCTATTTCATTTCAAATACTTCGAAATTTCCAATTTGAATGCTGTAATATTCAGTTGAAATATTTGAAGTGCTTGAATATTCACATGCGCCTAGTTAGTTGATAGACCTATTTTTGACTATTGTTATTTTATCATCACAAATGCTGAAGAGAAAGCTTAAGCCCTTGCTGTTTGATGGTTTTCTTTGTAACTTGAGCACATGTTGCTTTACTGAGTCATTCATCTGTATTTAGTTTCACAGTTTAGTTCTGCAGCATCATTGCTGTTGCTGTCTGCAGCATGGGCAATGCATCAAGACCATTGAATGTTTGCACTAATTAAAGTTAAAAATAGATGCTTCCACCAGTGGTTGAAGAGAGCTTGGTCAAGTTGTGCAAAGCTCGGTTTGCGGCAAAATTGGCGCCCACAGCTCACAATTTCGTCTGCATTTTCTGTATATGCATTTCCTCGCTTACCAGCATCTTTTCGTAAAAAGTGTGAGAAAAATGCTATTTGGAAAGAGTAGTTTACCAGTTGCTGTTAACGTTATTGTAGCCGTCAATGGCGTAACCGATAAACATGAAAAAATAAAATGAAAAAAGTATACTGCATCAATTGGGATTAGAACCCAGGTCCCATGTGCAGCAGTCGAGTATTTCAAACCAGAGCTACGCTGGTGCTGGAAACTCACTTTGCAAAAAGACGCTATACAGGCGTCGTGTCGGTCAAGGAATCATGTCAACCTAAGTAGTATAGCGTGGCAGAAGAGTAAAATAAAAACTAGTGATCACATAATGCTAATTGTACAGCGAGTATATGGTTGAATTCTTCCCACCCTCTGCAAAATGCTCAGACATAATTCTTCATCGTGATCAGCTGCATGCAGCATCCGCAAAGTGCACATATGTAGCGGGTACCTCACTTGCCTGCATAAAGAGGAATAATGGTGAAGTGGGTGCTGTCTTACTTCGCAAATATTATGACTTATTGCGTAGTTGATACCTTGCAGAAAGCCAAAACTTCAACCTCAGTTGGCCTTGCCTCTGCACAAAGCTGTGCTCACAATTTCTATTAGGCAGTATCATACCATTAGCAAATTTTTTTCACTTCAGCATCCCTTTAACATAGCAGAGATGATGAGCCCAGGGATGACAGATCTTTGAGTTTAACGTTGGCAGCTAGCTAGTGCTTCTCTCTTCCTTGCACTGCAGCCTGTGTGACGTGACTCTGTTTGGTTCTGCTTGTGCCCTAGCGTCGACCTGGTGCAGTCTCAGATCAAGGTTGCCGAGGGCTACCTTCCTGCCGGACATTGGGCTGGTGCAGGAGAACGTTGTGCCCAAGGGCTGTGCCATTCAGTGCCGAGTCACCACAGAAGACCCGGCCAAGAACTTTCAGCCCGACACGGGACGCATTGAGGTATGGAAGCTATAACGCGTACACACTCAAACCTCAATATAACAAAGTAAATGAAAAATAGTCTTGCAATAGATTACAATGTTAAGAATAAACCTTTATAATGAATTTTTGGATATAATGAACCCATTTTTATGTAAGATTCAACTTCGTTATAATCAAGTCTGAGTGTAGCATGATTGCGCGAAGAAACTTGTTCAAAGAAAAGCAAGTACACAGTACAGACACCATTAGGTGGCATGTAAAAAACAAATATTTTTCCTATCGTGAGTATGTCTCTATTGGGCAATTCGTGTAAGCCTTTAGATTCTGTAGCATTTTTCAGAAGTACCTGTCAAAATAGTGTGCATTCATAATGACTTGCATTAGGCTTTCGGAATGACAGTTGCACCTGTTCTGTGTACTTGCTTTTCTTTGTCCACATTTTTTCGTGCAGCCAAGTGTTCAAAAATGCACTAATTACAATCGACATCTGATTTCCCGGACCCTTTAGGGACCGCAAACACCTTGCAGAGAATTCGGGCAGTCCGAAAAAAACGAGTGCAAGTGAAAACACACTTTTTTAATTGGTATTTTTTCATGACGGAGGACGGTCACGACAGAAGTACAGGATTCTCATTGCAATTCAGCCAATGTATCGTTTAGGTGGGTCTGAAAAAAGCCGTCTATTTTTTTTTTTTCGACAAAATGAAAGAAGGAAATAAAAGAAAAAATAATCTGATGTGGCTGGCACTACTGCGTTTGCAAACTCTTAGATGCAAGAAAAAAGTCGCTTATTTTAGTTTGCACAGTGTTCCTCTTACCCGCGATGATGTCTGCCTGATTTTTAGCTAGCGTCATGCTGTCGCTTCCCACCGATGACAGTGTCAGTGCTCGCGTCAACTCCGAGCTCGTTGGCATCTGTGCCTTCTATTCCTCGCCTTCCGTTCACTTTTCTCCTAGCACTTTCGTACTTCCGCTGCAACCCTTATTTCAACAGTGTAGCTTCTCCAACTGTCAGAGCACAGGCAGCACAGCACCATAGGGCCATGGCCACATATTTGACTAAGCTACAGCTGGCAACGGATTGGCATGCGCTGGATTGCGAGATGATTTGTGGTTTTGAAGGTACTGCAGTTGGTTTGACGGTACTAAAACAACCAAAATGACGAAAGCCATAAACGTCCAGAATTTCGAACTTTTTAATAGATTGATTCTATGGGGAACTTGATGGTGGCACAGACGAGTCCAAGAAACCAAGCATGTCCAAAATTTCGTATGTCCGAGAAATCGGATGTCGGCTGTAGCTCCAATAAGACCTTTACTGTATGGAAACTATTATTTTTTGTGAAAGTGCAGCACCAAGAAACGCTTATTTGTACAAAATTGTACTGTGCTGCACGTTTATGCAAGCCAGGTTTCTAAAAGCACCTGTTTTCACATGAATATCACAGAGGTATGTTATATTATGATTTTATACAATATCTGCAGCAGTTGTCAGTACAGAACAAAAACCGAAAATAGAAAGAGTGGTATTTTTTACCATAACGAAAATCTCATCAAAACATCTATTACTTCATTCCGGAGTGAAACCAAAATATTTTTGTCAGTTTTCAGTTCAAAAGAAAAGTTGGTGATTCATCACGACTCAGCTGTGTAACTTGAGCATTAATGCATTTCTCAGAGGACAATGAATACTGGCTCTTATCTCAGGCAGGAGTCCCAAAGTAAAGATGTGTGGAAACTTGTGAAAGATTCAAAGAAGGGAAACCAATTGAATGCTGTTTATAATAATGCAAGTGAAGCATAATGTGCCATTCATGCAGGCCAGCCTCGAGAGGAAATTCTTGGCACTGAAGTTTATTTTATCAGAATGGCGATCTCTGGGAACACTTGATGGCGTGCTGCGTATGAGGTCCTGCTCACTCTCTTGAAGTCATGTATTCATCCTGCTGCAAGGATTCACAATTCACTTAGAAGGAGCTATAGATACTATATTTTTTATTGTTACTTAAATTTCAAATTTCTGCGTACAATTAAAAAAGACCATTGTGAACTGTTGAACTTCTTTTTTATTTTCACTTTAGAATGCAAATGGAATGAAACTTTTTTTGGTGGAATGAAACTAAGACAGATGAAATACACTTTATTACAAAACCGTGAATCTCGTATTCTAGAAGTTCTGGAGAAGATGGGGGAGGGGGGCTTAAAGAGATTAAAAATCTCTCAACATTGGGTTTCACTGGATCCAACGTTTTGACAAGCATCTTCTTGCTACCCTGTAGAAGACAAGTCTACTCGTTGAAACGTTGTTCCAAGGATGCCATGTGTTCAAAGATTTTTCAACACTTTATATCGTCACATGTGGTTTCATCTAACTGGCACATGTCATGGAATTAATGTGACAGTAAGTTAGCCTCCAGACTTTTGCTTCCAGAAAAGTAGGCAGAAAGATAATTTGCCGTGGGCAGAGACCTGTACACGACAAGTTATCTTTTTGTCCACTTTCCTTTCTTTATGTTTACATTACATTTACTACTGATAACAGTCCCTACACTTTCTTTGGCATTATTGTCTGTTAGTTCTCATTAGTTTTGTGTCTTAACAAAGAAAAATGAGCCCTCAAAATTTTTCTTTGCTTAGTGTACGTAATGTTTTCTTCGATTGCCAAATAGAAAACTGGTCTCTCTTTGCTTTCATAAGAATTAGTATGATTTCAACGTGCAGCTATAGGCAATTGTCCAATTACCTTGTACACCCCTGTAAGGCAATAAAATGACAGAAAAATTTGTGACTGCTCCTGACTCGCTTATGTGCTTTTTTTGTCTGAATGCTTCAACCAGGTTTTCCGGAGTGGAGAGGGCTTTGGAATTCGGCTCGACAGTGCGTCGGCTTTTGCCGGTGCCATAATCTCCCCGTACTACGACTCCCTACTCGTGAAGGTTATCGCCCATGCTCAAAACATGAGGTCCGCAGCAGCAAAGATGAATCGTTGTCTGCGAGAGTTCAGAGTTCGGGGTGTCAAGGTGCGTATTCTTTTCATATTTATTTTTATTATTGTGGGACTATATCTAAAGTAGCCGTTGTTACATCGCCGATGGGATTTTGATTGCTGAGTGGTACTTGTCACGTAAGTTACACCATTTGAATGCATCGCAGAAATGTACGTCCTGCTTGGATATTTCCCTAAATATGCAACTTTGCAGTGTTGTTGATTAAATTGCAGCAAAATGCAGCAGATAGCATTTCTACCAGTATTCGCTTTGTGCCAACGGTTTCATGTGATGATCATATTGTCATTGTTTTGGGCAGTACGGGCGATGTTATGTTTTTTTTTTCTTCCACATTATGGTAATTAAGATGGTCATACGCTAAATATTACGGCATGTCTGGGAATGAAGCAAGAATTTTAAGACATTTCTTTTTCATTGACTTTAGTGGTTTTAGACAAATTGATTAGAAGTGAGATACGCTGCTACAAATTTTTGTCGTAAACCTTGACATCCAATTTGTCTGCCTCAACCTTGCAGCTTCAGTTTTCTTACAAAAAATAAAAAGTCATGCTTGTAAAACCTCCACTTTCTCCGGGGCCCATTATCTCGATTGTGTTCGCTAAAAATGAATCTCTTGAAATAGTGTTACTACAGCGTATCATCACGTGTTCACTTGTCAAAAACTATGTGTAACACATTCTAAGTCCTCTATTATTACATAATACCAGATTTTTGAATTCCCTTTAGTTCCTTTGTGTTTTAACTAAAAATTATTGTATAGTCCTCCTCACATAATACTTCTTACTTGTACAAGTGGCTGTGAGGCACTTGTAAATAAGGAATATAATACAAGCAATATTAGAATGATGTTTTTAATTCCCTAGAGAGTGATGCGAGACCATTTTCTTGTTCTGTGAATTACTCATTGATCTCTTGCGTTGCCTCCTTCATGCAGACAAACATTCCTTTCCTGCTCAACGTGTTCCAAAATGAGCAGTTCCTCAGCTCCGAACGTCGACACTTACTTCATTGACGAGCACCCCGAGCTTTTTTACTTCATGCCGTCGCAAAACCGGGCACAAAAGTTGCTCTACTACTTGGGCAACGTCATGGTGAACGGTCCCATGACTCCCTTGGCAACTCCGCTTAAACCATCCGACCTCACCCCAGTCATTCCGGACATCGAGGCAGGTCAGTGCATTGCAGGTCACTACCTAAAACTTGCTGTTTGGCAGGTTTGTGTTAAATCTCGTACAACATTTTTCAGTGAAAAAGTGTGAAGTAAAACACAATGTACAGGGCTCAGTGCATTGTATTTTCCTTCTCTTAAGCTTCTTTCATTCCAGATTTTTGCACAAAAAAAGTGTATTTAAAAGACATGAAATTTTGGTGAGTTGATTTTGCAAAAAGGTTGAGAAAAAAGGGAAGGGGGTAGGGACAGGATTTAGCAGAAACTCCCAGGTTTTTTTCATAGCTACCGTTTGTCCTCCTGTATGACACATCTCTGTGTATAACCTGCTCCTACAATTATACACTCCAGAAAAAAAAAATCTCATAGTTTTATGAAGCCACCTTTTTTGCATTACTGCAAAGAAGTTCCATGAAGCAAACTTGTGCACTAATGTTCACGTATGACTCTCAGCACGTATCCAGCTCCAAATTTTTCACTACATTTTGTGTTGGTTATACGCGAAAAAATACAGTGACTGCCATCGCTCTCTGGTTATAGTGTGGTACTACTAAGTATTAGGGTGCAGGGACGGTTCCTAATCATGACAGCCACATCCTGGATGGAGGCAAGAATGCAAAAACACTTGTGCACCATGCACTCGGGGCACTTTACGACATTATCCCAGGTGTTGAAAAATACTTCAGAACACTCTGTTGTGTTAACTCATATAAGTTTGTACCACTTTAGAATTTTTAACTCATGCAATTGATAGTTTAGGGTAGTCTTGTCATTACTTAGGGTATTGCCAAGGCAGGCACAAAAGTTGTTCTCTTCGTGCCCTTTCCTCATGTTTGGTTAACGACTTGTGTGCCCCCCCCCCCCTTTTTTTTTTTGAAGCCTGTTGAACTATAGCAGTATGTAGTCAATGTTTGCTAGGTTGGATGAGATTGTTTGCTAGAATCTTGCAAGTCTACCCTATTAGTATGCCACAAAGTGTTGAAATTTGGCATCAGAGGTGCAGATGCATTGGTAACTAATTAATGAGACAAGACTGTTCATGACCATCTCTGTGCCCTTTCACTAAATGAGGTCTCGTCATATCAGCAACAAACTTTGCTGTGCAATGAAGATAAGCACATGAGCATGTGTTTCTGCCCCATTAAAAAAGTTTTATTTCTCCGTCTAGCAGAACACTTTCTCAAAATATTTTTCAGTTTACATACATGGCATCTGTCACAGCATCATGCTATGTCATTTCAAGTCCATGCTACAGTGACCTCATTTCTATAGGGGTGAATTGCAGAAATTTTCATGTAACTTAAATTCAGGTGTGTGAAGAAACTCGAGGGATTCAGCATACATTAATCCGAAGCTGGGTATATGTCATTTTTAGCGTTATTAGTTCAGCAAAGCATGGAGATGAAACCACAAGAATGGCTGGTGTTGGCACTCCTAAATTATACGATAATCAACTGGATCACTTGAAGATACATATAACAGTGCAAAAATATAAAACACAGAACATCAAGGAAAACACACAGACATAGTACACATCCTTATGGGTTTTCTATCTTTTTGTGCTGTTAAAATCTTTCATAAGTATGAACCAACCCACCTGAGCATCCGCTTTAGCATCTCGGAATGTTGCTGATGACAGTGTATTCTTAATGCTAATATGTTAAAAACCCTGGTGCTTAAACCCTGGCAGTTTTCTGAAATAAAAAAGGCTAATTTGTATTTGTACTGTCCAAAACCTTCTAGTTATACTTTGTGTTAATGTGGAACACTGCTTTAAAACACCACAGAATTGTTTTTATACTTTTCATGCAATAATTTTAAGTGGATTGTATGATTTACAGCTGATGCAATTAATTCTAGGGTGCTGAACACCAAAACAAAAATTTCGCCTTTTATTTAAAGCTTAATAATTTTTTTAATTGAAAAAAAAATTATGTGGTGGGTTCAACTTGAGAAACAGTAGTTATAATTTGTGTGAAAGCTCTGAAGGAATGAGCGAACCTCGCAGTAAATTGGAATTTAGATTTACCTTCAATGTCACTATCCCTAGGCCTTGCTTTAATGGCTTTTAGTGCAATAGCTTAGTATCAAAAATGCCTTTTTTTGTAATTCAGCCCAGTAAATGAGTAGTTGCGGCATTCTGCTGTTGATATTTAGGGTGACATGCTTTACGCTTAGCCCTGGGGGCCACAGTTTGAAAGATGTGAATTGTTAAACTGCTTGTATGCTTAAATTTAGGTGCACTATATAAAAAACCCCAGTTAGTCTACATTGATCTTAAGCATCCACTGTGGCTACTTCTATTAGCCCAGTATTGGTTTGGACCAGTCCAGTCATGCTGGCTTGGTTACTATCAAGTGATGGCATTGCATTGCTTCTACTCCTGGCTATTCCAAACAGAACAATATGCAAAAACACCCATGATTTAAGAATTAGAGGCACGTTAAAGCAGCCCAGGTGTTTTAAATTAATCTGGGGTCCTCTACTGTGGTGTGCCTCATAATCACATCTCGGTTTTGGCTTGTAAAACCCTGCGATTCATTTTTAGTCTTGGTTTAGAGATAAGCTAGAACCTCATTATTAACAAAGTTGCATTTTACAAAAAAATAAATTTGGTATATCCAAAAACTTGTTATTTAAAGGTTATTCCTAACACTATTTATTGCAAGACTTATTTTCATTTACTTTGTTATAATGGATATTTCGTTATGTTCATGTTTGTTATAATTAGGTTCTAGTGTATTGAACCCACCAATTGCTTTCTCTTGCGATGCAAAAGCGAACCATGGTGTCAATAAAGTTAAAGTAAGGATATTTATTTGATATCTCTCACATGGCTTCGATATATAAATTGTGATGATATGGTCTACAACTAAAGCGCCACTTTATCGATCAGAACGACTTTTTTTCAATAGAAGCAAAATGCTCCAGGCTTATGTAAATAGATATGGGTACCCGTATAAAAACACCAGGTGGTCGAAATTTCCGAAGACCTCCACTATGGCAGTGCTCATACTGCTATCGTAGTTTTAGCACATAAAACTTCAAGAAAAATTGTAAATATAAAACCATTATAACAGAATGTTACTCGAACAAGTGCCCAGCCCTTGTATAACCTAGCTGTGTCTATATGGTGTTGAATGAATGAAAGAAGATAATTTTAAAAGCTCTTTTTCTTCTCTTACACACAATACTAAGTAAAACCAACTGACATTAAATCCAAGGAAGGTGTAGGAAACATTCTTTGTAGTTTTTAAACATTATTGTTGTATATATATTGTATATGTGATGAAATTAAAGAGGACGAAATGACAGTTTGCCACTTGTGGGGACCAAACCCACAACTTTTGGACCTGCAACCTTGCTATGTTCTTTTTTTTTTGTGCACTTTCATTCCTTCACGTTCATACAATAGTTACTACATTACATCTGAGAAACTACAAATCATGCCCCTATACCTTTCTTGGCCTAACGGTTAATTTTAATTTAGTTTGTGTTTATTATAGTGTTGACTGTGTGTCCTGTCGTGACGCTGTGCGTGTGTGGTGGAGGGGGGCGAGGGATGTCTGTGTCGTATTGATTGTGTGTCGTTATTGCTCTTCTCATTCTAACCGGTGCTGAATTGTTTTTCTCCCCATTTCCTTCACTCGAAAAGGCCCCGACAGACAGAATTACGTACCTGGTAAATCCAGCGTTTTTGTCTGCACGGTTGCTTGCTTGACTGCTATAGTCTGCATGGGCACAGCTCTACATTACTCTGTCTTATATGTTTTCAATGTGGCTTGCTAGATGGCTGTGCTAACATATGCACGCATGTCTGTAATAACCCTGTATAGACAAACTTTGATATAACAGACAAGATTGTTATGAATTCGAATGCTTAAGGAAAGACCCTGCGTTAGGAGGTTTTTTTTTTTTGAGCAGAATTTTATGAAACATTTACAGCTTATGTGTTTATTTGTGCTGATTTAAAATATGCAATTATTTTTCCAGTAAGGTGCATAGTTTTTTAAATATAAAAATTTTTATATTGTTAGGAGCAATATTTTCTTCTAAACTGCAAAGCAGGTCAACATATCAGAATAATCATTAACGAGAACTGCACACAAAAAAACTAGAATGGATGTGATAAGCCCATTCATACAAAAGCTATGGTATGTCGAACATACATAACTGAATCATTGTCATGCTGGGATTTCACTCAAAAAAGTTTGATGTAGTGTAACTTTTATTTGAATTGGTTTACAATATCCTCGCTTGTTTTACTGCATGCAGTTTCCATCCCAGAAAAATATGATATGCTGAATTTTTTTAAACTCTATATATAAACTCAAACATCAATAAAAAAAACTGGATATCACAAAATATTGGTTATAAGGAATAAAATGAAAAATATCCTTGCAATAGATATAGTATTAGGAATAAACCTTCATAACGAATTTTCGGATATAATGGACTTAATGTTGCATAACATTCAACTTTATTATAATGAGGTTTGAGTGTCAAATCAGGAAAATGATCGCATACTTGAAGTCAGCTGCTAAATGTACGTAATCTGTGATGTTTCATAAAAGTTCACTCAAAAATGAAATACACCTTGAAAGCAATGCCCTTTCTTAACAATGCAATTTAACTTAGTAGGAAATATAGAATAACCTGAGAACATCAGCATGCCAAATGTGACATCATTTTGTGAAGCCTGATTATAGCGAAAAAGGAAAAAAAGATTTAGGCATGAAAACGGCAATAAACACCAGAGTGGCTAAGCTTGTCAAATTAAATTCAGTGGGCGTTGGGTTTTTATTGTATGAAGTTAGGCTAATAGTGAACAGAGGTAGTAAAAAGAAGTAATAACTAAATGTGAAAGAAGAGTTGTGTGCAGGCTTTTAATATGGATGGACCTTGATATAATGAAGTTTGTTATGTAGCAAGTTTTTTTTGTTTACATTTTCTGTGTTAAAGCACACGTATTTTGTTTCTCTTGAACTAGTAAAGCATATGTGAAACAGTGTTTTCGCAGGCAAAGCGATAAATTATGCATTAAAATTTTTTAGTTTTGCATGCCAAAACCTCCCTGTGATTATGAGTCATTCAAAATTGGCGAACTCTTTATTTAAATTTTTTGGCTACCGTGAGTTTTTTAATGTGTACCCCCACCGAAATTCGACTGCCACGACTCTAAGTAAAACTCTTATTCCAGAGCTCACAAGTTTAACACCTTCCAGCACAAACTACCTAAGTGAGTCGGTAAAAAAGCTTATTCGGGCAAATTCTGCCGATGTCAAAACGTGAAAGAAAATTTTCTCCCTCCTTGTAACCCTGTACGCATAGATGTTGAAGCTAATTAGATGTTGTTTCAACATCTAGTTTTGACGTACTGAACAACGGATGAAAATCCCACAACTTATTATGATGGTGTCTTTAACATCTAGTTCACTCGGTCATTTGTTAGCACCATCGTCAGATTTCGGCTTCATACTATTCAATAAAAGGTCCTGATGTGCAGCAGTTACCGTAGCTTCTTTTTTTTTTCTGTACTACACTCAGCACTTTTATTTGTCTTGCTTGTAAAAACTCTCATATTATCTGCACAAGTCAACTTATGCAAAGTATAGCAGGACTGGTTTTGGATGCTCAGGACACCACTTGTGCAACTGAAAGACCGAAACCCTAACGTAACAGATTTGGTTGCTGCACTTTGTTATACAAGGTTCAATCATATAGTGCAGTTTTATCATGAGTTTCTGTATTGTTTTAATCAAACTTTAAAGGGATGAGAATGATTTTTTTTAAATGCAGTACCTTCTACTCGAGTCTTCTAGTTATGTATTTGTCAAATGAGGTAATCCTTAATTTCGACTCCATTCAATAAGATAAATTCAATATATTTGTGTGTTGGAGCTTTCTTATAAAATTTCATGCTTGGACCCCATACATGAGTTGCAGTGAGGTGGAAATCATAATCTAGTTAGCGTTTTGAGAAGTACCTATAGATGTGAATTTTCTCATCGTTCCTTGAAGATCTTTTATGGAAATGCAGGGCAGCTATCACCACTTACCTCGAGATATCCAAGAAGTTTGAAACAGCTAAATTATGTTATGTACCTTCTTCTAAGTCAGTTTAATTTATACTTATGAGTTAAAAATGACCCCCGAAACTTGATATTCGAATTAGCTGAAATGTTGAACTGCGAAGTATAGTTTATTGCGATTGCATGCAATTCGATTATTGAGAATTTGGGACTTTTATATACAGGTAAAGGCACGCATGGTCTAGATTCATATTGCACCCTCAATCTGGGAGCAGTATTCTCAGTCAACCGACAATTTCAAAGATACTACCACTTTTAGTGCACATAGCACAAAGGTGAACGTCTCTCTGAAAGTGGTCGTCCGAGAGTACAGCCCCCCGCACACTCCTTGTTCTGGCACGGTTTGTCTTAGTAGCCCATTAGGTGTTGTCATACTTACAACTGATTTTTTCTGCATAGGCTCCAAACCGCCACCAGGACTACGCGACTTCCTGGTCAAGGAAGGGCCCGAAGCATTTGCGAAGAAAGTACGCCAACACGATGGTTTGCTGCTGATGGACACGACATACCGTGATGCCCACCAGTCACTCTTGGCCACACGAGTGCGCACGATTGACCTGCTCAACATCAGCCCCTTTGTTGCGCACAGCTTTAATAAACTGTACAGCTTGGAAAACTGGGGTGGTGAGTGCTGCCTGCGAATCCATTCAACTTGCAAAAAATATCGGTTGATGAATAATCAGATAGTCAGTTAATCAAATAGGTCATCGGTCAGTTAGTTAACCAATCAGTTATTGATCAATTGTCGCAACTGTCAGTGAATCAATCAATGATCAATCAGTTAGTCATTTGATCAGTCGAGTTGACAATCACACCGGCATTAATTCAGTTTATCAAAAAATCACAATCGATCATTCATTTAGATGACAAGGTAGCCAATTAGTCAACTGAGTCATCATTCAGTCAGTTATTAAGTCAGTTGATCAATCAATCCAACAGTCATTTGATCAATCAGTCAATCAATAAATAATTGGTCAGTCAGTAAGTTGATAAATTGAGTTGTCAATCAAATTTAGTCAATCAATTGCTTACTTTATGTGACAGTCAGGTGATCCATCAGTCACAATAAATTAATCACTAAATCATTCAAACACTATGGTATTTAGTTGATCAATTAATCAATTAATAAATGAATAGTTTGTCAGTCAAACAGTAAGTTGAAATCAATGCAATAGTCGGTCAATAAATCAATCATGAGCCAGTCAATTGATCTATTGAATTACTGATCAAATAGTCACTCAGCGGGTCACTCGATGTGACTGTTCACCAATAAGACACAATCAGTCAATCATTCAAACTGCGATTTACTTGAGCAACTAATCAAGCAATGTAACAGTCATTTGCTCAAACACTCGGTAAGTGAGTCAGTCAGTTTTTCAATTTTGCAATCAATCATGTTGCGTTCATTTCAGGAGCAACATTTGACGTGGCTATGCGCTTCCTGCACGAGTGTCCTTGGGAACGGTTGGAGCGGATGCGTACTCTTATCCCGAACATTCCGTTCCAGATGCTTCTGAGGGGTGCCAACGCTGTGGGCTACACATCTTACCCTGACAACGTGGTCTACAAGTGAGTGACAAGAAAGGCTAGAAAAAAAAAAAGGTAGTTAGCATGAGTAACTAAGAAAAGAAAGTTATGGGGGATGGTAAGAAGTCAGCATAGGGAAATGTTCAGTTGTAACACCTTGCAACTTGGCGTCATTTGGAGATGTGGCTTAAATTTGCAAGTTCTGTGCACCATTAGCAAGGAAGAGACTGCCAGCACTAAGGCAATGGTAAATTCAGCACTTTTGTTGCCTCAAGATTCTTCTTATGACTTCTTGGGATATTTTGCCTCACACAATCACTTTTGTGAAGGCAGTGAAGCGTTAAACGAGATGTTAGATGTGGAATGTTGTTTTGGTAGGAGCTTTATAATGCTTTCTTTTGGCTTTTTTTATGGATGCTCGCTGCCAGCAAACAGTTATCACATTTAATTTGAACGGGTCTTTATAAGAACAGCAATGTGGCTTAGTTGGTTGTTCATAATAATAAAAAAGAGGGCAGAAACAATGTAGGAACACAAAAGCACACTCGTTTTTCTGTTGGTGTGTATCCCATTGTTTTTGTGTGTAGGCTTGTTTGCTTAGATTTGGGTGCACGTTTAAGAACCCCAGCTGGTTGAAATTTCTGGAGCCCTCCACTATGACGTCTCACATAATCAAATGGCGTTTTGGGGACATTAAATTCCACATATCAATTATTAATTGTTGTTTTTGTACTGTTTTTTACAATCACAATCATGCGCTGTTTTGATTTTGAGTGAATCATTGAAATCCATTTAGTATAAAAAATATAGCATCACTAACCATACAATAATTTGATAATTATTTATTTTGTAATTACAAATAATAGCTGTAAAATACATTATAATTAATATTAACACATTCCCTTATTTTACAATTACTCTACAAAACCATGGCATCATCTTATGCAAACTTCACACAATTTTTAACATTTGATTATAATAGGTGTTACGAAAAGATAAAGTGAACGGTTGTGCAGTATTAGAGTAGTCAGAAAACATCATTTCAGGTTTTGTCAACTGGCAAAGGACTGTGGTATGGACATCTTCCGGGTTTTCGATTCTCTCAACTACCTTCCCAATCTAATTCTCGGCATGGATGCGGCAGGGAAAGCAGGTGAAGTATGATCAGTATCATCCTTTTCACCCTTGATACTACCCTTAGTATTACCCTTTTCACCCTAGATATAGACAGAAAGGTTAATCTATAGAATATTATTTTACACACTGAAGAAACCATTTGCACTAAAATTTTGCTCTGTCTTCAACATCATCAAATACAGCTTGGTTTCCAACCTAACTCTGAGAAAAATCAGTTTGATCAACAGCTTTACGACATTTTAACATTAGCACGCTCTTCTATAAGTAGTGCTGTGAGCTGTATAAAATAAAGAATGCGCTACTATTCAAGGCTTGAATTTCGGGCACTTTGGCACTTTCGCTTGCTGCTTAAGACAGTGGTTCTGAGACATGGATGGCCCGTGGGCTCAGATTTGGGTGCACGTTGAAGAACCCCAGGTGGTTGAAATTTCCGGAGCCCTCCACTACGGTGTCTCTCATAATCATGTGCTGGTTTTGGGACATTAAACTCCACATATCAATCAATCAAATCTGAGACATGAATTCTCTGGGGACACCTCGTAGACTGGCAGAAGCGATGGTGCATTATTTGAAGTGAGAGAGGTGGGAAGAAGAGGGGGTTACAAGTTCATACAATGTGCAGTGCAAAATTGATGCCCTGTTTTGCTAGCTGACAAAGAATGGTCAAACGGAAGTGTTACTTCGATTCAATCTCGGCAGCTTGTCCTGAAATCAGCAGCCAAATTCAAATTGTTTCTAGCTGTGATTACTTTCCAAGTATGCAAGCCTGAAAAAGCATGCTTGCATATAGATGATTTAAGAACTGCAAAGCTTACAGCCATCTCATGGAGAAGAGAAACATTTCAATCAATCAATCAATCAATCAATGAAGCTTTATTTTCATAAATAGATATATGCAATTACAGGGATTATTTGGACCGATAGCCTAAAGTGGCTAGTGGACGGTCCAATACAATGTGCAACATAAAAAAGTGTACAGGTCAGCTCTGAGGTAACAACATAAAAAAAAACAATCATGTGATACAGATAACACAGTAATACATTTTTCTTGCAGATATGCATACTTATTAGCTTGCAGCTAGTTTCTATACATAGGCACTTATTAAAAAAATACAATGAAAATCGAATCACACACACATGCTTACATGTCTTGACTCCACAGAAAAAATGATTTACATGCCATGCTGAAATTACGTGCCGTTTTAATCTCTAGGGGGACCGTGTTCCATATTTTTGTTCCACTAAACTGTATCAGTCTTTCTCCGTAAACATTAAAACATTTGGGCAGATTGAAATTACCATTCGAAGCATGTCGCGTATTGCGTTTAGGAATTGAAAAAAGATCAGCAGGCAAAGGTGAATTTCTATTAATTATGTTATTTACTGAAACAGCAATTTTGTAGTCACGCAACATCGGAACCGAGAGAATGCGTTGTGATTGGAAAATATTACTTACTGATTCACCTTGGCTTATGATTTTCAGTGTACGCTTTTGAAGTCGTTCAAGAGTTTTTAGATAACTGTTGTACGTCACACCCCACGATTCCAGACAGTAACCTATGTGACAATGACACAATGAAAAGTAGAGTGTGCGGAGAATAGCTTGTGGAAAATATTGGCGAGCTTTTATTAGAGAATAGCAGCCATAGGCTAGCTTTGCGCACACACTTTGTACTTGCTCATGCCAGTGTAAGTGTTCATCAAAAGTGACGCCTAAATATTTAAAACAAGGAACTTGTTGAATAGGAGTGTTGTTTATTGTTAGGTTAAGAGATTCAGCGTCAATATGTTTCCTACGAGAGTGAAACACCATATACTTTGTTTTAGTACAGTTAACAGTCAGCTGATTCCTGGCAAACCATTCCGAAATGTTCGATAAATCGGTCATCGCGTCATTTTGTAAATCTGCTAAGGAGTGTCCTGTGAAAACTAAAACAGTGTCGTCCGCGTACATCAGTGTCCTTGACCTTTGTAGGGATCGCGGGACATCATTAATATAAAGAGAGAACAATATAGGGCCCAAAACTGAACCCTGTGGCACCCCGCATTTAATATAACCGTAGGATGATTTGATGTCACCAATGACTACCTTTTGTTTGCGTGCCGATAGATAACTAGAAAAAAAATCAAGCGAGTTACCTTTTATCCCATAAGAATGCATTTTTTCCAGTAAAATGGAATGACTAATAGCATCAAATGCCTTTCGTATGTCTAAAAATACTGCTATTGCTATGTTGTTTTCATGTAGCGCGGAATTAATATATTGCGTAAGCATCGAAACAGCAGTTGAAGTGGACCTGTTTGCAACAAAGCCGTGTTGCTGGGGACAAAGTACATTCTGTTCACCCAGGAAGCGCCTTAATTGCGACGATATTAGTTTTTCAAGCGTAGTGTTAATACTACTCAGAACAGATATTGGTCTGTAGCTGTCCGGAAGATTCCGATCACCAGATTTGTACACTGGTATTACTTTGGCGGTCTTAAGTATACTAGGATAAGTTTTAGAGGAAAATGCATGATTAAATATATGGCATAAGGGACCACACAATACATCAATATTCTCCTTTAAAATCCTTGATGATATGGCGTCATGTCCAGCTGCCTTGTTCCCTTTTCTCGCGCTTATCGGCGCTTCACAGCAATGCAGAGGTGTTATGTTAAGCATGTAAAAAAATTGATAAAAATAGGAGGACCTTTGTTGCAAGAAGTAGTGTGCATTCAGAAAGCGTGCTTTTTGGGGTAGGTGTCATGGTGTGGACTTCACAGAGCCTCAATAATGACTTCTTGGACCTCTGTTTGAGCACCACTGTTCTAAACAATCATCTAGGTGGGTGTTCAGACTATGTCGTGTTAGTGCCTTGCCTTATTATCACCTTGAAAGGTCAATGAATGGGGTTTATGTGCAAATACTTTTGAGAGCATTCATCTGAGTTACATGGAAACTTTCCTTACTTGCAAACTTGCCCGTTGTCCACATCCAGGTGCTGTGGTGGAGGCAGCCATCTCCTACACCGGAGATGTCTCCAATCCTGAAAGAACCAAGTACAACCTGGACTACTACTTGAAGTTGTCCGACGAGCTGGTCAAAGCTGGCACTCACGTACTCTGTATCAAGGTAATCCAAGGTTGCATACTTGCTTCACGTGCTGTGTCGGTTACACACCTTATTAACTTGCTATGATACCATAGCAAGGTACTCTTAATTCATAGAAAAATAGTTTGCCATAAACAGCACCCAGAGTTCTTTCCTTCTTAATTTTGTGCTTCAGCATGTTTGCCATATGTGACAATACTTTCTTTCTTTAGTGACTTTAATATGGTAGAGATCCGTGTACTGTACGATGTTAGTGCATACACCAGATGGTCATAATTTCTGGAGCACCCCTCTATGGCATGCCTCATAATCATGTCATAGTTTTGGAATGTAAAAGTCCAGATGTTGCTATTATTATTTCTTTTTTAAATACAAAAGCATCTAATGTCCTTCGATCTACATAAGTATTGTAGCATCGCAAACTGATCAGACTCTTTGCTTGATCAGATTCTTTGCTGGTGTGAATTTGTAGTTGTTATCTTGAGATAATGATCTTTAAACATCCACTGAACGGGTTGTTAAATCGGTGAGAACATTCTTTTCTATAATTTTAGGACATGGCTGGCTTATTGAAGCCACAGGCAGCACGCATCCTGATCACAGCACTCAGGGACCGACACCCAGATGTGCCAATTCACATCCACACGCACGACACAGCTGGTGCGGGTGTTGCCTCTATGCTGGCCTGTGCTGAATCTGGCGCAGATGTTGTTGATGTGGCCGTTGACTCCATGTCCGGTATGACATCGCAGCCTAGCATGGGTGCCATTGTGGCCTGTCTGCAAGGCTCCAAGTATAAGACCAGTAAGTTACGAGAGCCTTTATGACTTTTTGTTTGTCCAATAAATATATTCTGTTTACAAGACAGTGTGTAAAGGCTTATTCACTTCCATAGCACAGGTCACGCGACCAAGCGAGTTGCAAATTGCCGCTTTGGTTGCAAAGCACCTACTTTGTCTTAAGGAAAGAAGTGCGCATTTAAGGGCTTATTTTCCTTTGTTAGACGCAATATTAATGAGATCTAACAGACAGTCTTGCCAAAGAAAGTATAGGCGATGTTATTAGAAGTAACGGTAATGTAAGTGTGAAGAAAAGTAGACGAAAAGATAAGTTTGTGGGGGTCTCGGCGAGGTGAACGAGCGCATCGCCACGCCACGCTCTTGGAGTGAACGGACACCGTAGACGCGGTCGGTACAGCACCCAACATGCACACATTTATTAACTAATTTAGACGACGATATCGTCCGCCGAATGTTACATCAATTTTAACTAACACGCTACCATACAAACAACATAACCCAGTGACACACTAAACACACAATAACATGATAAACACACACTAACACACTCAACACACTAGCACATACCCAAGACGGCGTCGCCAACGCCTGACTTTCCACGCGGGACCCCGGCGCGAAGCCCGCGGTGCCGAGCACCGGGGACCCGCGCTACAGACAACCGTTCGCGGCAGCCGCCACGCGCAGAAGAGGCTCACCCAACGCTCGCCCACCACCAAGGCCTGCCTTCCGCCAGGGGCCACCACCGGCGCTACCACTCTACCAACAGTGGTACTGAAAGCAAACACAACGCCATCTATCGCCCGGCGGTGGTCACCACCGCAATAAAGCCTTGGGGCGAGACACGTGCGCCACGCGGCGCAGACAACTTTACAGGGGGGGGGGGTGTCAGCACCCCCACATTCCCCCAACCTTAAATCAAACCATATCCCAAAATCGAAAATTAGCTACACAAGCTCTAACAAAAAAATGATATTGCACGACCATAATGTCCTTGCACCACGACACCGCCGCTGGTCGACACTGCTGCACTGTCCGGCTAGGCTTCACCCCAGTACCGGCCCCGCAACAGCAACGTTGCCGTCGGCGCGACGATCCGTCGCTAGCACCGACACGTCTTCCAGTTGCGACCAGCACTCGCGAGGGCGCCGGACTGCAGGCAGTTGCGCAGGTCCCAGGCATCTCCATCGCCCGACCTCACGACCGCATTCCTGGCCAGTGACGCTGACGATATGCAGGACAGCCGGCCGTGGATGACATCCCTCCCGCTGAATACATCAACAAAAAACAAACTCGAAAGAAACAAAGGAGCGCGGCCCAGGGGAGGGAGCTTCAGGCTTTTCGGCCACGTGGTACGGTGGTCAGTACTGCTAGCTAATACATCGGTGGCGGCCGAGACGCCCATCAAAATAAAACAAAAATCACTTTTCCTGACCCTTGCATCGCAAGATAAAAAAAAAGTGAGGGAAGCAGAGCGCAACCCCTCAACGCTACGATCCACCTAGTTGTGCCACGTGCGACAGGCGGCTGCGCAGAGCCTTAGGCCTAATGAGTCGCTCGGCAACAACCGGCATCCACCCAGCACCCAGCCTAGGCGCAGAAGAGGCAGCCGCGAGGAGACGTCCACTCTGTGAGGTGGCCCTATCGCTCGCCGCACACAGCAGCTTACCGAGCGATCGGCGTCCACCGCCCCGGGCGGTGTCACGACGCCTCGGCGTCGAGCCGCAATACAAGTCAGCAACGACGCCCGGCTCCCTGAGCCCAAAGAGATAGAAGAAGCTATTCACAGAAAATCGGACCACCCACGAGGCTTCCGTACTCACTCGCTTCGGGCCTGGCCTACAAACCACGTGCTCTAGGCCTTGCTCGCCCCAGGATGCGGACCGCATGGCTCTCGTCCTAATTCAACAACGTTTTTGAAAACTAACAACAAAAAATAACAACACTTGCGAGCAAAAAAAATAAATAGAAAGTCAACTTGCCGACAAATTGAAACACGTTACAAAACCAATCTCCTCGCTTCTCAACAAAGCACACCACCGACGCTAGCAAATAAGTCCCCCCTAGGCCTACTCTACTCCGGCTCTAACAAAATCCCTGTACCGAACCGCAAAAACTGTCGTCCGATACTCCAAGAGCTCCACGTTGGGCAGCCAGTGTGGGGTTCTCGGCGAGGTGAACGAGCGCATCGCCACGCCACGCTCTTGGAGTGAACGGACACCGTAGACGCGGTCGGTACAGCACCCAACATGCACACATTTATTAACTAATTTAGACGACGATATCGTCCGCCGAATGTTACATCAATTTTAACTAACACGCTACCATACAAACAACATAACCCAGTGACACACTAAACACACAATAACATGATAAACACACACTAACACACTCAACACACTAGCACATACCCAAGACGGCGTCGCCAACGCCTGACTTTCCACGCGGGACCCCGGCGCGAAGCCCGCGGTGCCGAGCACCGGGGACCCGCGCTACAGACAACCGTTCGCGGCAGCCGCCACGCGCAGAAGAGGCTCACCCAACGCTCGCCCACCACCAAGGCCTGCCTTCCGCCAGGGGCCACCACCGGCGCTACCACTCTACCAACAGTGGTACTGAAAGCAAACACAACGCCATCTATCGCCCGGCGGTGGTCACCACCGCAATAAAGCCTTGGGGCGAGACACGTGCGCCACGCGGCGCAGACAACTTTACAGGGGGGGGGGGTGTCAGCACCCCCACAAGTTTCCCATGGGCAGGCACTGAATTTGCAACCCTCGAATAACGCGTCCGATGATCACGTATAAAGTGATGCCAAACAGGCACAAAAAGAGTGGTCTACACACGCCATCATGGCCACTGGTGGCACTTACTCATGCTCCCACATTTAATGCACATAAACCTAAAAAGTGTACCCCATAAAGTAGACGGGGGGGGATAGCCGCTGTGGTAGCTCAGTTGGCAAAGCATCGGACGCATTATTCGAAAGGTCACAGGTTTGGTCCTTGCTTATGGCAAAGTTATCTTTTTGTCCACTTTTCTTTTTGACATTTACATATTTACATTAAAATTACTTCTAATAACATCCTCAATACTTTACTTGGCAAGATGGTCTGTTAGATATCATTAATATTGTGCTTTGGCTTAGTCGCTCGATACTCAATATTTCAGGTGCACAGGAACAGGCAACAGCTTATTTTATTGGGCAATTTTATGTAAGCAGACATAAATTCTGTGGCGATAAGTAGTATATAAGTTGTGAACATTGGTTTTCTTGAATCGCTTTTTGATCACAAGTCACAAATAGTCGTTGCGGCTCTTGCTAGTAACAGGTGTGAATGAGCCTAGAATGTGATACACTTCAAATTCTGAGGTAATAGCATTTGCCCTTAAGTTTTGTTAATCATCCACAATGAACTTTCACTGACTATGTTTACTAAATAGCTTCATAGCACATGTCAACAAAGCATCGCTTACTGCAAATGTTCAGTAATCTTGTAGCTTTAACATAAAGAGCACCTAAACAGCCCCTCATCAGTTGAGTTGGTCATCTCGTTAAAACATACAGATAGTACCACGCAAATGGAAACATGAGTCATATTCAAAAAGAATAATCCTAGGATGGGAACCAACCAGTTATCAACGTGGCCAGTTTACAACTTTGCCGTAGATTAACGCTGTTATGTTTGAAAGCACACTTTTTTGAATTCATATAATGTTGTCGTTTTGATTTGTACTCTGTAATCTCCATAGCTGATGTTACTTTATAGCAGAGCATAGGCCTCTCAGAGATATCTCTGAGTTATTGGGTTACCTATGTTTTGTAACAACAAGCTTCGTCCTATGACTGCCAATTCGCTATCTCCCTTGTACTTTTTGTGTTACCTTTCTATTTGGTGCTTCTGCTATTTTTTAGTATGCAAGTTGTCTTCTTACGTTGTCATTTACCGTATTTACTCGATTCTACCGCGCCCTCGATTGTAACGCGCACCCGATTTCCACCGCGAAAAAAAAAAACAAAACCGTAAGACGTCGATTGCAACGTGCACCCATTTTTCTCGCTGGCCCGCACGATCACACCACTCGAAAAAACTACTCCTTTCGTGAGCGTTTTCCATTTAAATATGAGGTACGGGCGAAGCTTGTGCTCATTCTGACGTGTAACAGAGCATTGCCGTCACTGTAGTTTTACCGTGAACCGATGTCAGCACATGAACTTGCTTCGCCCCCTTCTTCTCGACGGTTGTGGTGCCAGGCATGTCGAAGTAAAGTGGTGTCTGATCGGCATTCTTGATTTGCCCAAGCAGGTAGCGGTTGTTGCGCCGCAAGTTTAGGACGAACCTCTGAAAACTGTGAAGCTTTTCATCGTATTCCTCCGCAAAACTTTTCGCATATGCATGTTCCCCTTCGGAGGAAAAAGCCTTTTTTCTTCATAAAGTTAGTTAGCCAGCACCTGCTCGCTTTAAACTGGCTCCGCATTAGACTTTTTTCTAAGACTAATTGCATAGCCCGCACTTGGAGCAGTTCTGTCGTCACGGGCCGCTGTGCCGCTCGCTGCTCAAGCACATACTCGCCGAGCAGCTCTTTAATTTGCGGAAACCGACCCTGCTGTGGTCCACTGAAGCCTTTGCTTGAAGCTTTGCTGTCGACAATTTTTTGCTTTTGTTTCCGCCGGTCCCGCACGCACGTTTCGGGAACTCCGAACGACCGCGATGCGGCCCGATTTCAACGTCCGTTTCTGCACACGCGATGACTTTTCTTTTAAAAGCGGCATCATGGTGCACTCGAGTTTTTGGAGTCAGCCCTTCCACGCCATCTATGCTAATGCACTACTAGATGACTAACTCCTCAGCACACAAACGAAGTGCCGCACATGGGAAACACATAGGCAGAAATGGCCGACTCGCCATGCCGACGCACATAGGGGGCGGCCATTTTGGATTTGCCGATGGCAATAGATTGACCGTACTCGATTCTAACGCGCATGCGATTTATGAACCCGCCTAACCGGTAAAAAGGTGTGCGTTAGATTCGAGTAATTACGGTAGTTCACATCTTGGTCCATGCAAACACAAGTTTACCAATGATGCCACTATTGATTTTAGGGCACAACTCTTAAGTGGCCATTCCTGCGTCGAGCCTGGGCGTGCTTAGTTCAACCTTACTGAGAGAATGACGAATACAGTGAAAGATGAAAGCAAATGCGAAGAGTGAAGGGCATGGCGAAATCGTGAAGAGGAAAGTAGCATGCTGCACGGGTCTTATAAGATGGTGCCAGAGTAGCTTGCGTTATCTGAGAGGTTTGTGTGCAGAGGCTGCTGTGAATAGCACATACATGCTGGCTCGTGATTTCCAGATTAGCAAGGCAGTCACGTTACACTTCACTCCATGTGGCACATACCACATGAGACAGATTTTTCACACCATCCAATACATCAAGAAATGAAAAACGTATACAGCTGCACTCAAAGTTCACATCATGGACTATCACGATCGTCTGTGAATTTTTGTTTGTCATTCATGGCTTCAGTCTGATATATAAGCGTTCTGATACTGATACATTCTTATCTCATATGGTTGCCAATGTTTGCAATATTATTATTCACAATTTTTAGTTAGTTTGCATTGGATACATTGTTGGGCATAGCCCATTATCTCCCCCCCCTTTTTTTTTTACATTTAAAGAAAGAATAAATGAACTTCACTTGTATTTTCTTGTTACACAAGCACAAATGTTTCTCTTGAACTGCTTGTTTCACCTGTGTCCTTCCTCAACCAAAGGGATCTCCCTGGAAAGCGTGAGCCGATACTCAGCGTACTGGGAGCAAGCTCGTACCCTGTATGCCCCGTTCGAGTGCGCCGTCACCATGAAGAGTGGTAATGCCGACGTGTACGAGAATGAGATCCCCGGAGGACAATACACGAACCTGCAGTTCCAGGCATTCAGCCTGGGACTTGGCGAGCACTTCGAGAGCATCAAGAAGGCCTACCGCGAGGCCAATCTCCTGCTTGGTGACATCATCAAGGTAGCTGCCGACTTCGAAAAGCGTCTTATCTGTGGATATTGTTGCCACTTGCAATCAATGCGGCAGGGCTGTGATTGAGCTAGTTGGTTCTGATTCGTAACTCCTGTAAGCATGAGGGACGCATAATGTGGATGAAGAACACGGGAGAAGCGTTACTTTCAACTGAAATTTTAATGGGTGGTAACACCAAATATACACCTATAGCCATCAGAAAGGGAAAGCATAAAAACTATACATCATAAAAAGAACAATCTATCTAATGGACAACTAATATAGGACAGTGTCCATTCGTGCAAACATGTGTCAAGAATGTATGTGCGAGCAAAGGTCTAAGTGATGAATAAATTAAACGATTCACAATGATAGCATCAGCAAATCAAGTGTCAAGGCACTACGTGACTGCACCATGGGCACATTCTAAAAATTGAAGCTTCCTGATTGCCAAGGTAGTGTTCTTTCTGGTAACTGCACCTGTATATTTGGCGTTAGCGCTCTTTGAAATCTTAGTGTAATGTAGCACACTCCTGTGTTCCTCATTCGTGTTAGTCTTCCGCACTTACAGAAGTTATGGCACTGTTGTGCAATATAGAAAATAGCATGCGATCTCCTCATTTGTTCTATAACATGCAGTACTTTCCTCATTCCTTTCTATTAATGCCTTTCATTTGGTGTCTTCTTAGTTGCCTGTTGTTGCCAATTGATGCCACGTGCTGTTCATGGATGAGCCATCTGCTTCAAGGGCCTTCCCTTATCATTTCAGGTGACGCCCTCTTCCAAAGTTGTCGGGGACCTGGCACAGTTCATGGTGCAGAATGACCTGACCAGCCAGGATGTGCTTGACCGTGCTGAGGAACTGAGCTTTCCCAGCTCTGTGGTGGAGTTCATGCAGGGCTACATCGGAGAGCCCTACGGTGGCTTCCCAGAGCCACTTCGCAGCAAGGCAAGTTCCCCCACTTTGTTTTCAGGAGTTCCCCTTGAATTCACACCCCATAGAACTAGTGTACGGCTGATAATTTGTAACCAGTCTAGTATTGGCCATAAAATAGATTGAACCCGAAAGCTCTCTTGAAGCAAAAGTTCTGACACTATGTTCAGTCAGAACCTATGTTCAACACAGTCACAACAATGGGAAGCAAACCAATTGGAGTGTCTAATCAAGAAATGGTAAGACGGGAAATGCTGCGATGTGTTTATTATAAAAATTTTTTTATCTGTGGTGACTCCGAAGTCATATATACACCGAACACATGTTGCAAACACTGGAAGGTGAGCGCAAGAGAGGTTTATGTTTGTGTGCAGCGGTATGGTGGCTAGCCCTCTATGCACTGTAGCAGTGGTTTGCTGCACATATGCTCCGGCTTGACATGCTCCTCTAGTTGCCATCAAGGCAGTGCCACTTTTCAGTGTAGAGCTCCTTTTTCTTTGTTAGCAGCTCAGAATAGAGTGGGTATAGGTAATATATACATAAACTAATTTTTAATACTAATTACAGTCCACTGAAAGCATTAGACTCCATAGAGCTGAGTCAACAACTCCATAAGCTACCGTCAAGACTCTTCTATTAATTTGCCTGACATACCCGTTAAGAATCTACATCATACTCGGTTAAAAAGAAGGATGCTTGAACATGTTGCTATAATTTCATGTTCTTTTCATTTCCACAGGTACCTAACCATGCCTTCTGACCTGTTGTCAGTCCTTGAAAAAATAAAGAAAAAATAAAGGAGCTTGTTTACGTTCTTTTTTCCCACATTGAACAGATCCTGAAGGACATGGCTCGTATCAGTGGCCGGCCTGGACAAAGCTTGCCTCCACTCGACCTCGGCGTGCTGAAGAAAAAGCTGGTCGACAAGTTTGGGCCCAGGATACGCGAAACAGACGTCATGAGTGCCGCCATGTACCCCAAGGTCTGCGACGACTTCCTCAACTTCCGCCAAACCTTCGGGCCCGTCGACCTTCTTGACACACGAGTCTTCCTCGTCGGACCACGTGTTGGGGACAACTTTGAGGTGAGCAAACACTTTGAAGGCAAAATTACCAAGCAGTTTTTCTACAGTTAAAAGAGCACTAAAGATAAAAGAAGCTTGTTTCACTCAATTACTATCTTAAAACATGTCAGCTCCAGCCACAGCCATTCCTCCCACTGAGAATTTGCATAAGTATTCCATCCAATAGTGCTTACTCATTTTAGCGACATCAAACTCTTGATGAGCATTTCAGATAGCCGACTTATGTGCTGATTAACTTTGTAGCTCCTCAATTTAGGAAAAATCTTGCACCTAAAAAGGCTCGCGAAATGCTTGACATTTTATATACTACATGCTCTAATAAAAATTTAAATGCATCCTTAAAATCACTGCGGAAGTATTATGGTGAGCAAGTTTAATCAAAGCCAGTGAAGAATTTAGAAAGTTTTGAATTAGTATTGCTGCCCCTTAGGCTTGCAGTAATTTTTTGTAATTCTGGAAGTGTGCGAGTTCAGTCATTCATTGAGAGAAAATTTTCACATGTGTAGCCGGTCTAGCGGAATCTTAAGTGTGTCCTGCTTTATGACACACGTCTCCATATGCTTGACCTTGAATACAGGTGACAATTGAGAAAGGCAAAACATTGCACATCAAGACCTTGGCTGTGGCTGCCGATGTCACACCAACCGGTGAGCGCGAGGTATTCTTTGAGCTAAATGGCCAACTGCGATCTGTCTTTGTCAAGGACAACAGTATGAGTGAGGTAAGTGACATGCTTACGCCTACAGCTACATTGATTACAACATGAACTACAAAAGTTGTTCATAGCTGCTTTTTCTGCTGCTGCACTCACATAATGACTGCATTCTTGAACAACTGAGTTGGTGTAGGGCTGGGCCTGACGACAGACGAGTGTCTGCTTGTCATGCTGCAGTTCTGGGGACTCTTAAATGGCGTAACCTTAATGTAACCATACATGGTTGCAGATGAAGCGGAAGCCGCACAGCTATATCAGAAAATCGCAAGTGTAGCATTGGAGAGCCGCAGCTCTGCTGTTTCTGCAGATTTCACACTGGGCGGAACTGTGGTAGATGTTTTTTAAAGAAAATGGACACAAAATTAGGGATGCAATCAGTGTGTGGGGTAAATTTTTCATGCAAAAACGTTTTACGGTATGTAGGTGTCACATGAATTCCACACTAGCCTTCTATTCTTTTCTCAATATATAATTGACCCCTCTCTTTTATTTGGAGTTTGACTGCTCACTGTTGACATCACAAAAATATTTCTTCTCAAAACCAGCAATGTTATCGCTAAAGGCATCGTAACAGTTTCACAGAAAGTTGAGAAAATATGGCTGTGCAACTTGCCTGTTACGTTTTAGTACGTGGTGGTTTTTGAGCATCTGAAACGCCACAACTTCTTAATCTAGGGCCGCTGCAACTGATGATGCCCCTAGCAAGCGATCATGTTTGGTAAGCTTTTTGTGAGATTTACGCTGGATGCATCAATTGCGAGTGATAATTTTCCTAGCTCGCTCTGTTAGGACAATTGGCAGAGTGCCATACTGCCAAAGCATGTAGACATTCGAACAAATCAAACACTTTGCAAAAATACCTCGCAAAGTGAGAATCCAAAAATGCGTTCCTTTCTTCATCTCCTCTTGAACTGCACTCATCAGCACTCAGCCAAGATCTGACTGATGAATAAAACTGCTGACGGATAGAACCACACAAACACTGCTTAACATGCATGACCCACGAACACAAAAACAACGCAATGTGATCATTGTCAAAATGTGAGAAGCATGGCCACAGATCTCGAAGGTCTGTCGACTGTAAAGCAAAGTTAATTTATAAATGTGGCATGCATACCATATACCATTGCGAATCTTGGAAGCTGTGCTTTTGCTAGCAAGAACCATTAAATATAGTGGGCTTTGAGCTCCAATCACTTAGGCGTGCTTGACTGTAGTTGCAAAATCAGTCAGTCTGTGAAGAAACCTTATTTGGGTCCCAAGGAATAGTTGCAGGCTGCACCCACATTGTGGCCGGGAGATCATAGTGCTACACCCATTCGTGGGCCCTTTGGACAGCTCTTAGTTGTTTATAGAGATTGCCGCTTTTGAGGGCTTCCTCCATCCTCTTGTTTATTAAAAGAGGCATTTCGTATCGTCGGACATTGCCAGAGCATGTGAGCTCACAAGAAATACTCTTCATGGCACTCAAGGCAGTGGAGATTAATGTCCAGAGCAAAGCAACTACATCATCCTCTCGACGGGAAATATCCCGTTCGTAACATTCTCAGGGTCTAGTCGGCTTTCGTTGCGGGAGAGAAAATTTCCTGCGCCCGAGCTGATAGTGTTTCACTATTGCGTGAAAAGAGAGTAATGGGTCGGAGTTATGCTCCCTACCTGGATTGTCAAGCGTATCGGGACCATCGCGGAATGTCACACCTCACCGTTGGTCATGAACTAGTTCATTCGGGTTGGGTTTGCTGGTATGTACATTGATTCTATTGTGCACTGGGAACCATATGGTAGTGTGAGAGGCATCAGGCGTTCTTTTCTTGGATATATCCGTGGCTTCTTTGGAGATGAGACTCGATAGAAAGGCTCGGATAGCTGATCTGGCGCCAATGTAGATGTAAGACAACCATGAGGGGTCATTCATTGCTAGCGCGGTAGCAGCTTCTTCGGCCACTGCAACCCTGATGTGTTTAATTGAAGCTGCATTAAGGATCGTCCCATGTGGATCAGTTACAACAGCTACAAATGAATCTGTCCGCCCATACTGCGCAACATCTACGTAAGTAGTTATATCAAGGCTCTTGTGCGCAAGGTCTATGAGGGAGCGGGCTCGTGCCTTGCGCCTAGCTACATTATATTGCGGGTGCACATTTTTTGGGGAAGGGCTAACCTGAAAGGACTACATTTTATGAAAAAGGGGGCGAGGCGAAGAGAAGATCCCCCCTTTTTTATGAAATGTATTTTACACTACAGTAAAGCCTGCCTAACCAATGTAAGCACCCAATTACCCAAAAAGAAGTCTTCTTGAGCACTGAGGCACGATTATCATGTGAGAAAAAAAAAAAAAAAATCTTTGATGGCAAAAATTCAGTTATTGTCATTATGCGAGTAAATACAGTACATCTCCTGTACATCAACGAACTTATGTCGTTGTTTCTTCGTGGCATTGTCGCAGGACATTGTGGTACAGCCCAAGGCAGACAAAGACGTCAAGGGAAGCGTGGGTGCCCCCATGCCGGGTACTGTGGTCGACATCAAGGTCAAAGAAGGACAGGAGATCAACAAGGGTGACGCGTTGGTCGTGCTGAGCGCCATGAAGATGGAAATGGTGGTGCAGGCACCCGTGGCCGGCAAGGTGAAGAAGATCTACATCACCAAGGACATGAAACTTCAGGGTGACGACCTTTTGCTTGAGATCGAGGAGGCTTCGTGATCTCGTTTATTGGAACGAAGAGCCCCTTCTGTTTCTCAAAGTCCATGTCTATTGTTGGAGCAACTTCAGCGATGAATCCCTCACCCGAGCCAACATTTCCGATAGGCCATGCGCTCGCAGTTCAGAAGTCCACATGCGAGCATTGGCCAATAATGACTTCCAAGAGAGGAACCAACCTGAATGTTTAATTTCCGGCACCTTTCCATTGTTGTTCATTTATACCATGTTCATTTCTTCTTTCCTTCCACCCCGAGACATGGGATATCGATTACAAAGGCGCGCGTTTATGATGTGATGTGTTCTTTAAGGTTTTCGGCTTCTAGGGGTGCCCTCGCCTTTCAGGAGCATTGAATGGGTGTCACATATCAACCAAAGCGCCCTAGTCATCTGATGCAACGTGCTTGCTCATTGTGCTCGATGAACATAAAGCAGAGCCAACATTCAGCTAAGCAACACACGAGGCTAGTTTGACCACATTCTGTTTTCTCGTGCTTTCAACGAGGAACAGAATAATTGAAGAGCGACGCAGTGAAAGTGCAAACTATTAGCTGATTTTATTCGAAGTGAGTGTTTATACACGGTGATCGGTGGGTGGCAAAAGTAGCTTCGCGATTTGTTAAGAATTATAAAAAAAATTATAAAGACGAAACAAGCCTGGGAGTCCTGTTGGCTAGCCCTTAGGTTAGTCTAATGCGCTATTCACGTTTTGTAGGAATTGAACTTCCTGTCATTGTCTGTTAGACATACTCTGTGATTGTGCACAAATTTGCACAGTGGCAGACACGTGTTCTTAATTTTTAAAAAATCTTTACGGGTTGACGGGCGTCCCTTCCCTGATTTAGTGTTTGCTGGTTAGCGAGACATTTAGTTACGTGAAGGTGCACTCCAGAGAGTGCCATGCTTTAGCTAACAAGCCACTCTTGTGACGTCCAACTCGATTATTGCCTATATCAATAGATGAACGATTTCCCTTAGGCATTACTTATGTATAGTATACGCTTCCGGTGTTTGCCTTTTGCAAGCAACCAATTTTCCGGTGCCGTTGACTCTATCGTCATTTTCTACATTTATGTTATATAATATAAAAAGTAGTTTATTTGCATTTTATATACAACTTTTAGGAGACCTAAAAGTGGTTTTACAGGTTCATTTCAAAGTGTTTTTTATATGCTTTGCGGTCGAAGTCGTGTTACAGTTAGTCAAGTACCTCGAACATTCTATTAAAAAAAAAATCTCATGTTCTTAATAAGAGTGTTGGACATTTTAGAATACTTTTTGTTCCATTTTTTTGTTTGTGTATATTCATGTGTGCAATTGTTGTACAAGCATCACTTCAGTTTAGTTAGGGAGTGCTCTAGAGGTCTCCAATTTTTTCCCTGGGAACTCAAGAAAACAGCCTTAACCACTGCCTTGGTGATCCACTTGTCAGCGAATAGAAGCGTGGGAGCAGAGCACCTTGAAGTGCTTGTGTTGTTCGAGAGTGATAATGCGGTCTTTCAGAGAGAGTCTTCCAAGGAAGGTGCGTATGAATAGTTCCACACATGTCTATTTTTCACAAGTCGTTTTTTATTTTGGTCGGTCCTCATGTGCTCTTGCTGTATATAATCACAATAAATAAAACGTCGAAACGCGCTGCGTTTTGTGCTCTCGTTAAAAAGTGGAAATTTTCATTTGGCGCCAAGTACACACATGTGAAACGTTTATGCTTCACGATTTATACAGACACAACAGTAGAGTGCTGCATTATTCACACTATATAAAATGGGTTCCTCCTTTATAAGTAGATATAAAGCAGCCACAAAAATTGAATGCAAGCTAGAACCTTGCATGTACTTCTGTAAGAAAATGTAGGACGACTAGTGTACCAGACTTAAGCATGCCTCGTAAAATGTATCACGATACCAAGCATGGGTAAATGCAGTCAGTTTGTATTTTTGCGACCTGCGCAGACACCATCACAATGCTATGAGAAGTGTCACAAATACTATAGTTAAAGTGCCAAGCATTTCACAAAGCAGTGTCATGGAGATATGCAGAAACATTTTTTGCAACAGTTCACAAAAAGATTTTATGGTCGCGTACAGAATTTCATGGCACTGGTTCCACATCAATTTTGAATAGTCATTCTGTGAAGGAACACTGCTACCAGTTTTATCAATGTTTTAGAAGCCACAAGAGACTGAAACATAGGGTTCAAGGCTATGCACTAGGCTCTATGGGTTGTCATTGCAAAGCTAATGCCCCATAAACTTTTGCAGTCAAATGTAGAGTATGGTAAATTGATGAAAACAAATCTTTATATCTACAGTAAACAAAAGAGCAATAGGTGCAACTTTCATAAAAAAATATATATATGTAGTGTCACCCAGACATACATGTACAGGTTTGCAGGTCCTGGAGGTAAAAACTGAGGCATTGTACTCATGGATTTAAACGAGAGATGAAGTTTTTCAGTGTAACAAATGGTGTGCGCAATTGCTTGAGAAAACTATGTATTGTGACGAATGTGGTCTCTAAAAGATAACATTGGCTCTGATCTACATGTTCAAGTCGAAAGTACGTTGATATGACCCGAAGAGAAAGTATGTGTGTTGCTTAGCCCTCTCTCAATTGTCCTGTTTCATTCCTCGAGTACTATACATGAATAACTCGACACAGTATCATTGCACCACAAGAACTCTGCCTTCAGTATTCCATCACTGTTGCAAACAAACCAGGCTTCGTTTTGTGTGCTACATGTAAAACTACATATGCTACATGTACGTTTACTGTAGACATAAAGATTTGTTTTCAACTATTTACCATACCCTACATTTGAGCACAAAAGTTTATGGGGCTTTGACCCCCGATTTCAACCCCTTTCAGCCAAATGAAATGCTTCAGCATCGTCAAACACCTATGGATAAGGTGCCAATAGCGCGAGCCAATATCGAAAACCTTTATTAGATCACTCTAGTTTAATATTGTGCTGTACATTGTGTATGTAATGTTGGCCATTACAAATGTACTCTTGCAGGCAACCAGTGACATACTTCTGAAAGGAAATCTGCTTGAAGTTGGGGCCTGTTTTAGTCTTGTTTTGCTTCGTTTCCATGTTGTCTTATTTCAAGGTTTGTGCGGAGTAAAAACAGGTTGGCCCCAATATTTGATTGCAGCAGTTAATACAAGAAGCTGAATCCGTCTACATGAAGCATGAGCAGCCTGCTGGTGCCAATGCGCTAAACTTGGTACCAGGTGGGGAAACTGCCAGCTGCCTATGTTTGACATTTGGCTCTGGTAGTGCAACCATGTGCTTTTTCAGCAAAGTTTGCTTCACCACATCTGTGGTCTGCCACATGTAAATGTTTTGATGCTGCAGCACCGCCACTTACATGTTCATTCCAAGAAATGGACAGACATGTACAAAACATAGTACGACCCTTAAATACACCATGTGATATCGTGACAATGAACAAGCCTTGGGTTTTCTTTCGGCATGGATTGCACTGTATGTTTCCTCCACACTGAATTTTTCTTTTTCTTGAGTTGTGTATTCTACACTAATACTCACTTTTCATCCCAGCTGAGGACTCCACATGTACAAAAAATCGTTACATTATGGAAAAACTTTCGTTACTTTAGCCTCAGCACTACATACATTCAGGTGTATAAATGAAACTCTGGTAGACAATTTAAGTGTGAGCACCAGTAACTGAAAATTTCAGTGGAAGTCAGTGATGTGATGTACTTGATTATCTAACTTTGGAGCCTCTGCAATATAAATGTCTTTGCATGGAAGCAGCATACATACTTTTGCTGTCCACAATACTGAGAAGATATAGGAATTCCTTTTTTCTACACTTTGCAACAGAGTTGCTTTAGAGGTAATTGAACAAAAGGCATTGTTGGCGAGAGGACAGAAGATTGAAAAACATCTTCGACAAAAGAAGCTTAATGGCCAGGATAATCGAGAACTGAACTCAAAGAAAGTGGTTTCAAGTCTTCGGTTTACAAAATCACAGTGTTCACACAGAAAAAGTGCTTAAAACAAGTGCTTAAAATACTGTTCAACTGAGCTCTTAATTTTCATCCATATTTTCACATGAAACTTATAGTTACTCTAGAAGCATGTAATGGAATGTTAAAACATACAAGTATATGGAGACCTGTAGACCCTTTTCGTAATTGTTAAGCTAGCTTTCCTGCAAAGCAGTTAGCCCTGCCAATGCTAGTCGCTTAGTGGAAGCAGCGTGTTCAAGCCCAATTCCATTGCTCTGAGATGAGAAACATGTAGATTTGGTTCTCGTGGCATAAACGTGCATGATAGACAAACCTCAGCACTTGCGACTAGTACCTGATCTTCACTTGAAGGACGAAAGGTGCGGTGATTAGTTGGTTGAATATGCCAGAAAGCACACTTACAGATTATGAACAGGCTCTTGTAATGAATTGCACTTTCAAAACGGTCTCAAGAAGCGAAAATTATAGCACTCCAATGAGGCCAGGCAGGAGATCAAGAGATGAGAAGATCAGGATGGTTGAGATTAAAACAAGGAGTCAGCGAAAGCACTCGGTAAAAAGGGGGTGGGGGAGGGGGGGTGGACAAGCACGTAGAAAATGTCCAGCATAGTTAATTTTAAAGCGACTGTACACAAAGTTCAACAATTGCCACTTTCCACCGTTCTACTTAAACTCGTAGCAGAAGTCAAAGTTAGGCGGTTCCTTAGGAAGTGGTGGTGGGCTCTCTGGGATGTCCACACCTTCCGTGTCCAAAAGCCTCAGCTTGATCTCCATACTAAGCAGTGTTTCTAAGTCATTTTTCGTTTCCTTGCTGACCATCTTCTTGCCAAGCAAGGCATTGATGCCATCTGTCCAGTAGTCAAAGATCTTTTCATTTGATGCAACAAAGTTGAGAGGCTCTTGATTAGAGTCTGGTATGAGCGAAAAAGCCAGCGAAGCTGTAGACTTCGCCTTGCGGGTGTCTTTCATGTATGGACACTCGCGGCCAGTCGCTAGACTTCTGATTTCGATCACGGGCAGCTTGTGCGGCAGCTCTTCGAGGCTGGGTGTCGCATTTTCCTCGCAGTCACCGTAGTGGAAGACCTTCTGGCTCGGTGACAGTCGGCAGTACCAAAACTTGTCCTTGATCCTGTGACCCTTGGCTGAGTACTTGGTGAACAGTGTGCCCTCACACAGAAATTGCACCCTCTGCTGCTGGATCAGGTCCATTATCTCGGGCGTGACCTGCTCTCGGAGCTCGATGATGGGCCGTGCTTGGCTCTCCCATTCTTCCCTCGTAGACTGTTCCTGCTGCCACAGGTTCATGATCTCTGAGTAGGTCAGCATGGCGAGCTTGCTGCGGAACTTGTCAAGACTCATGAGAGGTGGTTCTGTGGCCAAAGCACGGCTGATCTGTTCCTGGACCTACACTAAACACCTTCACAAAGTCTTCGGTCGTTGCCCTCATCTCCTTCCAAGTCTTGTTCAAGAGCATGATGCCGATGCAAAAGAATTCTTCGAATGGATGGTCGTGTGTAAAGAACATTGGGTAATAAGTCTTTCCTTGCTCTGTAGGAGGTTCACCTATCTTGAGGATTTCAGCCAGAAGCCGTGTTAGTCGAATACTGCTACGGCCAAACGGGCACTCGTGCTCATCAGCCCTGCACGAGTTTTCGAGAACAAATTTGGTGTAGCTTTCTGTGTGGTTCCTAGCGAAGTATACCATGTTGTCCAATGCCAATATTCCAGGTGGTTCACCGAAGTCCTCGATAGGATTGGTATGGTTTTGAAAACCCAGCTTCTTGTAGTCTTTTGCATAGCCACCGCCTTTCCGGCCACCACTTGTAGTGCTGCAGGTGCCGTCAGCTTCAACGTCAAATGCAATGCGTCGTAGTTCAAGGATTCGCTCGCGTGCCTCAGCATCATTTGGGTCAACGCCGACACGCCGTTCATCCAGTAAGTTAAGCAGCAGTGTTTGAAGAACATAAAGTTGATGAGCCATTTCAGTGCCAACATGCTGTTGTGAACGTTGGAGGACAGCCGTGACAATTACATTGCGAATGTGCCGCGAGGACAGGGTTGCCGCTAGTGTCTTCCGCTTCGTGGTGCTCTCAGCTTTGAGGAAGAGCGCGTTGATCAGTGCCACAGCAGACTGCTGTATTTCCACTGATGATGACTGCATGTGCATAATAAGATTTGGTAATGTGACCTCTTGATCTACCATGGCATAGCGACCAGTGCCGTTCAGCACGAGAGATTCCAATATGGATAGTGAGGCCTGTAACGTCCTTGTGTCCTGAGTTGTGTTGACATTCACCTGCAAAGAGATAGTACACAGAGTCTAAATTTCTTTGCTACTCCAACTGGCAAAGATGCCTCAACACTATATATGCTAAAGGAGGGTTGCACAGGGGCATGGCCCACGAGATGGCGCCAGTGTCAAAGAGGCAGCGTATCCATCTTTGTGGTCTCTATCCCGGTTGCCACCGGCAAGCAGTTGCTGAACGTACACTCATGGGTGCGTGTCCGTGCGAGATTTCTGTGGTCACAATGGTACTTAGGTTGCTACAACCACTCGAGTAGAAGGCTGGTCATGAGAATGAGTCTGATGTCGGCTTTTTTTCCATACCTAAAGTGATTGGAAATCAATCTAACGGGTTTGGATGGCTATGCCACACACTATACCGCATGCGTAGTTAAACATTTCTGGTAAGTGTTCAGAACGTATGCGACGTCATAGAGGTCTGCTTTTGTGGTGAAAAACTTGGGTTTTCGGGACGTGTTATGAAGCTTTGTTTATGCAGCAGGAGACAAGTGTGCACAGTATACGTTTGCGATCGCTGCATGTCAGTGGTATCATTCAAGTAGATGCGGCGTGTTACAGATTTCAGTGTGTTAGTAAACAGTCAGCAACGCAGTGCGTTCTTGTTTACCCATGCTTTGACGAGAGCACACTGCGTCGCTGACTGTTTAAGAGAATGGTCAGCTAAGCATATGAACTGGTGTGGTGAAAACTGCCCGACGCGCATTGTTGGCTCGGCAGCAAACAGCATTTTTGATCGCAAGCGGCTTGGGCTCGACCACAAACGAACTATGCGAATTGTATCACAGTCGCATTGCTTTCGCAAACGGTGAAGCCCTTCCACACAAAGAATTCGTGAAGCGACACCACCGGGGTGACAAAAATGATTGGTTCGAACACTGAGCAAGGGGAACCAGTCACTGTTTTCGACAACGAGGCAGCGGCCGTTTCCGAGGTCTCTAACTCTGTGCTGTTGGGCCCATCCACTAGTCATATAGTTGTGGGCGTCCATCGATTTATAGGCTTTAAGCTCGTCCCTTGTTGTGAAGCTTGTTCCACCAACAAGGTGGTCCTTAATGCCTGTGAGCACGATGCGAGAATAACACTTCACATCACACACAGCTTTATCGATTTGATATGTGGGGTTTAACGTCCCAAAACCACCATATGATTATGAGCGACGCCGTAGTGGAGGGCTCCGGAAATTTTGACCACCTGGGGTTCTTTAACGTGCACCCAAATCTGAGCACACGGGCCTACAACATTTCCGCCTCCATCGGAAATGCAGCCGCCGCAGCCGGGATTCGAACCCGCGACCTGCGGGTCACACACAGCTTTATCGCTGCTGAAGTCGAATGGGTCGATATCCACCGCAAAGGTGAACCTTATTTTCGTAGCAAAGTTTCGTTGGACCTTGGAAGTCACGCGCGTAAGCATTCAGTCGCATTCCACCACATTGGTACCGTACCTAGCGGCATGCACACAACCTGTCACTGCCGCTCACCGCTTCAAAAAGGACGCGCTCAGACCACTGAAATGGCGGTGGAGGCAAACGTCACTAGCGCTTCAAGCGGATCACGTCACATGCAACCCTCCTATACACAAATGTCATAATATTGATTGATTGGTGGGGCTTAACGTCCCAAAACCACCATATGATTATGAGAGACCCCGTAGTGGAGGGCTCCGATAATTTCGACCACCTGGGGTTTTTTAACGTGCACCTAAATCTGAGTACACGAGCCTACAACATTTCCGCCTCCATCGGAAATGCAGCCTCCATAGCCGCGACTTGATCCCGCGACCTGCGGGTCAATGTCATATTATATACATATGTATATGTACATAGTGCACATTTTGTACAATGTATACATAATATGGTCACTCCTAACACGTCAAGAAAATGTTCCAGGAGTTGATACTGTGTTTCCACGGCAAAGACGATGTACACCTTTGTTTTTCTCTACCTCAACAACATTGGCATGCACTGTGAAAATATGGCTAGCAGCTGCGGCTTATCACTACAGCACAAGAGATGCACACACACAATTCGGAAAGAACTTCAACCACAGTTCATACCGTAATAATACAAGGCATTTAAATCTTCAAAGCACCAGCTATGTACGTTAACACTCGCCTACCGCATCATCAATAAACATTTTAGTTCAGGTAGGACTTATGAGGACACTAGTACAGGCAAGAATGTGGTGCCTATACAAAAAAAAAAAATGCTAAGCGCTCTTTTGCTCGCACAGCATCTTCAACACTTCACACGGCACCTTAAACATGCCAAACTGTGGCTTCTACTGAGTGATAAGAATAACTCGTCAAAGACTAACGGCGCGTAGTAGTACCTGATTGGCGACGCGGCCAACAAACTTGGGTTCCAAAATGTCCCATAAGACGATGCCGTGATCCATGAGTTCTACGAACGACTGCAAGGTGAGCGCCAAGTGATCGCCCGTGTAGGAACCCGCTTCGACCATGTTGATGAGCAGTTGGTGTCCCTGCTTGTTTATGAACTCCAGCGCGAACGTATAGTCCGAGGAAAGCCTCTGCAGACGCTCCAGGGCCACCCGCATGTCATCGGGCTTGTTCGAGTGCAGCTTGTCGAGGATGTCCTGCGCAGTCTTGGCGGGGCTGTGCGTCAGGCGCAGTACGTAGCCGTTCTTAATGTCGTTTCGGTTCTTCTCCGTGATGTACGAGCGGGCATTGTCGGAGAACTGGAGTGAGTACTGCTCGGGCTCGGCCAGCGCCCAGGTGTTGCACAGGTCCTGGATGATGGCCGTGAGCGGTCGCTGCTGGTCGAACTCGATGAGCTGCGGCACTTGCTCGTCCATCTCGACGGCGATCTTGACGATGTGCGCGTCCTTGATGGCGGACATCGTGCCTGGCTTTGACTGGCGGGCGCCCTTCATGGCGGATGTGAGCGGCCGCGCTTACGCAGCGCGAAAACGCGTCTTGTCTGCGCTGGGGCGGATGTCGGCTTGCCGCCGCCGCCGCCGCTCCCACATCAACAGCTCTTGGCACTTCGTTCCTCGGTAGCGTCAACACCGGAGCCAGAAGATCGGAGAAGGGCGGAGCGGCTGACTAACGGATCGTGTTGGCTTCGAACAATCTCCCGGTGAGTAAGCATTGGTGCAAAAGAAACGAAATCGAAACTACTTGTCAAGCGTGGTAGTTATATAGTTGCAATACATACCGTGTTAACTTTATGGGTAGTTAGGTCGTAAACTACTTTATTATAGCTGGGAAAAACTAAGGACTTTAGTTAGGTCAAGTTGGGGACATATAGTGAACTTTTTCTCCTCTAAGTTTTAATTGTGCCCCCTCCCCTTTTTGGTGGGGAGGGGGCATCAAAGTTTCCCTCAGCGTATCTGCTTATTGAGGTGTAGAAAAAAAAAACGTTCTCGGAAGAAACTGGCACTGCTGTCTAAAAAAAAAAAGAAGTCGCCAGATGAAAATTCACCGTGAAACAAGTCGTGTGCGAACTCGCTCGACAAAAACTGCAATCTTTATTCGACACTTAGTGAATTTTTGGCCAGAGTGTGCTCGAAAACGAGTGAAGTTAATAAAAGCTCATCATGTGTCCAATAACCTACAGTAAATTGTGAACTTTCGTCCTCCCGGCCGACATACTTCCCACATACCGTCTTGTAATTCCATCGTGGTCGTTCCATTATGTACGGCGTAAAGGGGTAGGAAAGCGAGGCCGCCCAGCACTCCTACGAAATTCCCTAACTCCTGATCTCACCAAGAGACTAGCCCGAGCTCTTCATTTTCCGCCAGGTGCACGCTTTGGCACAAATGAAAGAAGAATACGACTATCTTGTGACGTCTTTTCCAAAAACCATGTTTACTCAATGCTGCCTTCTCAAAATCACATGTAAAAGGACATCCGGATACAGCGCGAGTCCAAGGAGTTCGCACTACCGTATTCACTTGAACAGATCCTTGTACGTTCTTCTTGTCATGAAGACATAAGCAACTGATTACAACGCCATCACCTAGCGGTACAAGAACAAAGTATAACTGCAGAAATTCCTCGGGAGAGAGATCAAAGTCTCCATTCATAAAGGCAGGTGCTGCTCTCAGCTAATAGCTTAATGCAAGCACGTTATGCTGGCAAAGACAACAGTCTGTTCTTGGTCTCTGGGCGAGTATCGCACGTAGCTCGAGCGATCAGGAATTTCTACGTACGTGGATGGCACGCAGTTATAGTCCAAAGTGCCGAAATAACAAGGTCCCTGTGGCTGACAGGATTCTGTGGGTACATCTTAATTTGCTGCTGGCGTATGCGATGTTTCAAGCTCTGCTCACTGCCTATGCGGCACTCTTCTTCGTCACCAAGGTTTCTGGCGGCATCTGCGACAATGGCGGCGGGTTTTTCTTTCGAAACGAGTGCAGTAAATTAATTCGCAAGTTGCGTAAGGTCTTGCGATATCATCGCAGCATTCTGCAGGGTGGTTGCAGTGAACGCTTAGACGGTAGTCGCTTGAGGATTAGTCCGCAATTAAAGCGCCTTGACATCCAGTTACGTTTAGCAGAACGCCAGCGGATGCCCAGCCAAGACACAGCTTCGTGCGTCCTTTGTTCGATTTCATTGTCTCCATTCTGCAAACGAACACCGCTAAGTCAACCACGGGGCAAGTATTGAATGAGCTCCCGAAAGCGTACACCTACCTTGAGAGTTCAAGTGCGCAACACTGCTGCCTCCGGATGAAGTGCGTGGGTGCTTATCTGCTAACCCATTTATGTCTTTTCAGGTGTGAGCCTGGCTAGATAACATCTGACATGCGCATTGTATGTGATATTGCATAAGACATTACACTTATTCAGTTAAGTTGGGATAGTTGGTATTTCATCGTATGGTACTTTCTCATGAATACTTCAGTCAATTACAATCTTCGCGCACATCTTTTTTTTTTACGTGAGTAAAGCAATTCTTCATAAATGTCATTTAGATGAAATTAATGCTTGAAGCAGTATTTGGTTCTGCATTACGGTCTTGCATGCGCGTTTTCCACAGACTGTGAATTCCCATAAGAAAGAACCTATCAAAGGTCACTTCATCAAAACGTGTTGGGATAAGTTAACGTGTGCTATGTGAATTATAGTTAAATCCTTTTTTAATGGTTCGTTCAAGGATGTCCCAAAACGGAATGACATCTTTACAGCTAATAAAGCAGTGTTCTGTTGTCTCGAATACATCGCAGAGGCGCAGTTAACTGAAGAAAGAAAAATATACCATTTTTTTTCTTGCAACCATGGTTTTACTGGCAGCGTATCTGTATGAAGTATATAACAAGGTTTTCGTATCAGGAGAAACATACATTTTCCGTGCTCGTTTTAGTGTGACCTGGAAAGTCGGAATATAATGTGCGGTAAAGTTGAGGAGAAAAAAAGCATGGATATCAAATCTTTATAGAGTTTTCTGCGTGATAATGTGTATTAATATTCTATGAATCAGAATTTGAGAGACTGGACTGGGATCAAAACTTCCTGCATAAATCCCCACAAACACGGGCGTACAGAGAAATCTGAAGAAACAATCAAGCAAGGTAAGACGTAGTTTGGTGTGCTAACGGCAAGCCATTTATATACACCGTAAATCGTTTGGCAGCACTGCGAGCTTCGAAACTTTAGCGCGTTTTCGTTAGCCGTCTCCACGAAGCGCCGCCTCCACGCAGCGTGGTCTGTCCTGCGCGCGCGCTAATCGGACCCGTAATTCGGGAGAGGTCGAAGGTGACTTCGCACGCTGCCACGGCCGCGTTTATTTATACGAAAGGTTCACGCTCCTGACACACGAAGCAGAAAGTATTGTGGCAGTTGTTTGCTCTTGTCAATTTCATTTTGTGCGCTCGTTTCGTGCGTCTTTCTTTCTGTTTGAACCAACGTTTTTAGAACAGCGTGCTTAAGTGTCGATCTGTGACGGTTGCTAGTCCGCCCTCGTCCTGCAGTGTGTATGCTGACTTCATGCGTGCTTTCTGCTTGAGGTGTGCGCTGCAAGTTTCGATCTGATTGTCGTTTCTAAACATATTTTGCAATTTGTTGCTGATGCTGAAACAATGCGCAATAAGCGCTCAACTACCTCTGTGAAGGCACGTTTCACTTTCGTGTTACACTGATTCCTACACATGGGGATCAGCCACGTTTTTTTTTTTTTTGTGCCATGCAGTTGACGAAAGCATGTTGTGGAACTTAATTCTGTCGTATCACGAAGGTATACACAGAAAAAAAAAAAACACCTGCCTGCGCGGAAGGCGCAGCACAGTCGCAGCGAAAGCTAGAAGAGCAGCCTTTTCAAAACACTCATTGGGTAACTATATAGTGCAAGCCCACTTGCTTGATACCCACTAGGGCACTATAATAATAAAAAATTTTGTGTAGTAGGCTGGCATTCGGTATGCTATTTTTCGTCATTCTTCTGAGAAGCGTGGTATCCGCTACACACTTGCAAGGAATTTTGTGCCAATTGTTCGTGCATGCAGTGGCTGACGACGATGAGGAATTATGGCTGAAGTGGGTATGTGCCACAGTTAATATGGGAACAAGAACAAGCTTTTGTAATGGGTTCAAGCATTGGACGGCCCACTCGTTACGCTATTCGGCATTGTGCGACGATTGGCAGTTGTTTTGCTGTTTTAAAACATTAAAACTAAGGCTGGCTCAGTGGTAGAATACTGGGCTGGCACCCAGCGGACCCGCGTTTGGGCACCACTGTGTCATCATCATCATCATCAGCATCATCATCATCATCATCATCATCATCATCATCAGCCTGACTACGACCACTGCAGGACAAAGGCATCTCCCATGTTCCGCCAGTTAACCCGGTCCTGTGCTTGCTGCTGCCAATTTATACCCGCAAACTTCTTAATCTCATCTGCCCACCTAACCTTCTGTCTCCACCTAACCCGCTTCCCTTCTCTGAGAATCCAGTTAGTTACCCTTAATGACCAGCGGTTATCCTTTCTACGCGCTACATGCCCGGCCCATGTCCATTTCCTCTTCTTTATTTCAACTATGATATCCTTAACCCCCGTTTGTCCCCTAATCCACTCTGCTCTCTTCTTGTCTCTTAAGGTTACACCTACCATTTTTCTTTCCATTGCTCGCTGCGTCGTCCTCAATTTAAGCTGAACCCTCTTTGTAAGTCTCCAGGTTCCTGCTCCGTAGCTAAGTACCGGCAAGATACAGCTGTTATATACCTTCCTCTTGCTTGTTCCTTTGGTTGATTGAATTCTAATGTTTTCTTTACTCTGTTAGCAATTACCTTTGTAAATAGCTTCTATACTACAGAGAGCAAGGTGATCGGCCTCTTGACGTCGGCAATAATTTGAGAGTGCTTGCCGAATGTGCTCCACCCCATTCTTATTCTTCTAGTTACTTCAATCTCGTGGTTAGGCTCTGTGGTTATTACCTGCCCTAAGTAGACATAGTCTTTTACAACTTCAAGTGCACTATAACCTATCTCGAAGCGCTGCTCCTTTCCGAGATTGTTGTACATTACTTTCGTTTTCTGCAGATTAATTTTAAGACCCACCTTTCTGCTCTCCTTGTCTAAATCCGTAATCATGAGTTGCAATTCGTCCCTTGAGTTACTCAGCAATGCAATGTCATCGGTGAAGCGCAAGTTACTAAGGTATTCTCCATTAACTCTTATCCCTAACTGTTCCCATTCTAGGCTTCTGAAAACCTCCTGTAAGCACGCGAAAAACAGCATTGGGGAGATTGTGTCTCCCTGCCTTACACCCTTCTTGATTGGTATTCTGTTGCTTTCTTTATGAAGCACTATGGTAGCAGTTGATCCTCTGTAGATTTCTTCCAGAATGTTTATATATACTTCATCTACGCCCTGATTCCTCAGTGTCTGCATGACGGCTGATATTTCTACTGAATCAAACGCCTTCTCGTAATCTATGAAGGCTATGTATAGTGGTTGGTTATACTCTGAGCATTTCTCTATTACCTGATTGATAGTATGAATGTGGTCAATTGTTGAGTAGTCTGTTCGAAATCCTGCTTGTTCCTTTGGTTGATTGAATTCTAATGTTTTCTTTACTCTGT